ATGTTATTCAACTGAATAGTTAATTTCAAGTCACAGTGGAAAAGTGTTTGCTCACTGACATGCAGGTAATATCCATCTGATTACTTCTAAAAGCATAAGCATCCAAGAACACTGAAATAGTATAAGCTAATAAATATGTTAAGAATGATTCAGTTGTACAGATGGAGATGTGAATTCAACATGAACATAAATAATAAGGAGAGTGACAAAATCGGATCTGACTAATTTCAGAACTTGTATACTAGCAGCTTTCATAGTTTCGTTGACGAGTAAGGCGTACAACTTTGAATCTAATGTCCTTATTAGTAGTCAACGTAATACTCACAGGTGACAATACAAATGTGACTGAACATCTACTTAGATACTTAACTTGATAAACATTGAGTTGGTAAGTGGTCATTCAAATACAGACCCAAATCAGCTGATTGACAGTTTCCAGTGATGAGAATTGAATGAAACCAATGCATTTCAAGGAAAAATAGTTTTTGATGGACGTCAGTAATCATTCCATACATGTTCACTCAAATGTTGTTGAAAATGGACAGTGCGGTCAGTGTACTAATTTAAATCGTTCAAAGTATTTCTCATGAGTAAAGCGACACAGAAGAATTCTGTTTAAAATGAAAATGTATCTATGCCATCAAACTTTAGTTTTTAAATTCAGATTGCAATATTGTTGAATGAAATCAGTTTTTGTTCAACTTTTCACACTACTCCTTCCTTTCGTTTTCGCTTATTCGCGGTAGACCTAAATCTATCTTTTCTGTTGGTTTACTATTATGATAACGAAGTATTCAAATACTGGTTTAGCGCTATACTTTTACTTCTCAGAAGTAAAATATCATTTTGGATCTGTTAACCACAGGGTCATGGAGGAATATGTCAACAAATGTATATGAAACCATTGCTTTCCTATAATATTTTGAGGATAGTTTTCTCTCACACTGATATCAACTGGTAAACTACTGAAAACCAACTGTTTCTTCCTATAGGTGCAAATCTGATGGCGGATTGAGGTCAGTTTTGAAACAGTATTTCACCGTTCGTATTCAACAAGTGACTTCATTCAAAGTCATTCACTTAATGGTATTATAATCCTGTAACGCTGACGATAACAAGCCCTCAAAGATACAAGTCTCGACTATAACTTTAAAAAAGCCTGACTCTTTCTATATACAACAAAACAAAACCACTATTCGTTGATTTGGTCTGTTTTTAATCATAACGTCTATATAACCTCCTAGTTACAATGGTAAGTTATGTAACTCAACCTAGTTCAGAATTATCAGCTGGGCTACGAGTCTAGGTAAAAGTAAGCAATACAGGATGTGAACCGAGATCTATTGCTTGAAGGTCAACATACCGTCGTAATCATTCATTCTCTAGAATGCAGCTTAGCGTAATCCTTACAGGTGATTTCCGCTCATCGAAAATTATCATAGTGATATGATAGCAAAAAGAAAGTTATGCGTATAACAAAAGTTAACCGAACGGGGCATAAGAATAACCCCAGTATAGGGTAAACACTTAGACTTTGATGAGTACAGTCATGACTAACACACTAAGTCGAAGCTGGGCAACTAATCAGGAAAACAAAATCAAGTTGGTATTCCTCGTGGACTGACATCAGTTGGAGAAACATGGAAACCTGGGGGCACTGAACAGTTGTTTCGCCATAGTATGGGACTCCTCAGCAGTGCGCACCTACGACCCCACCAAGGTCGCGCTGTCATGAACTGATAGAAGTTGGGAATATGGACCACAGGATTCCGACCCGGTCGCTCAATGGTAACGTAGTGGCCACGGAACCTGAAAGTTACGGGTGCGCACTGCTAAGGAGTCCCATACTAAGACAAAAGATAGGTCTAGTGCTCTCAGATTTCTAATGTTCCTGCAACTGATGTCAGTCCACGATGAATACTAACTTGAAAAATCACTAAATCCCCACAAACCCTCAAATTCAATAAAACAAAATCAATTTATTCTTAGGCTAACAAACTGACAAAATCAATGCATCCACTTCACTGCTAACTGAAGACCTTGGGTCAGTCGCGCTATGTCGTGAATTGACAGAAGTTGGAAACTGTGAACCATTGAAACCAACCCAGTGGCTGAGTGGGTAACGCAATCGCTGTGAAACCTGAAGGTCCTGAGTTCTACACCTAGCCGGGTCGTGGGTGCGTACTGCAGAGGAGTCCCGTACTAGGACGAAACAGCTGTCCAGTGCTCCGAGATTTTCAATGGTTCCCCAACTGATGTCAGTCCATGATAAATACTACTTCTAAAATTAAAAATCCCCATTCATATCAAAAATACATTATTGCTTTTATTTGTCTATACATCTAACTACTTATATTAGAGCCTGAAAAGGATTCGGTTGGAAACAATATTGTTAGCCTACATATCTTATTTTGACTACAAAAACGCTAGGATAATATAATAGGGATCCTGGTCAATATTTGACTGGATATGTTTACACACGTTGAGTGGAAAGATGTCATTGGATATAAGTTATTGGGGAGAATATCAATCAAACGATTCACAGAAAACATACCATTAAAAAGTTGCTTCCTGCAAAATTTTCTATTAAATATTTCCTCCTTATATTCTTTATACTTCTGTATGCTAAAAAATACAAAGCAATTCAGTGGAGAATATTTTCTTTTCAATAAATCATTCTCAGTAGCTGAACAATTGTATTTATAGTAATAACAAGTAAATAAGACAATAGGTCGACATTGGGGCATCAGTGACTCGACTCTTAAGTCAGAAGGAGATTGACTAATCATCTTCCTCATGCTGACTGATTATTATTATTGTTGCTTTTACTTTACGGTCTATTTTCCTACGTCTTAACACGTTAGCTCCGTAATAATTTACTCCGACTACTGATTATAATAAGTATTATCATTTCCAACCTATTAGTCATTACGGCGATCGACTGCATTTTTCCCATATACTTGACCCCAGAAACGACTAATGTAAGAATAAAACTTCAGCATTGTGTTAGAGTATAATGCCATATTAGATTGTTTATTTGATATATAGCACACAGTGACAGAGTATAATTTACTGGATGACATTTCGAGCAGAATTTATTGCTCATAATTATATCAAAGTAATTATACGACTTTAAAACTTCCTTTTTATGGTCCATTTATTCGTTTATTATTTTAATGGTAGTACAATTTTCCAGATATCTGCAAGATATTGAGTCATTCCTGTTACATGCGTTTTGGTGTGAATTCAATGAACAAAGATTTTGTGATCAATGTTTCTTTCAATCTAGCTATATTGGATTTTAGTACTGTCATTCTATCCCACCCTATGGTAGGATTTGGAATCGATGAATGCAGAGCGATAGTCAAGTTTTTCTCTAAATTACTCATTTAAGTAGGGTCTACTATTGTTTGTTTGGCTAAATTTTTGTGTTCTGCTATTCTAAATGACATTGATCGGCTGCTTTGACCTGTATACTTGACCTCACAATCATTTGATGGTATTTAGTAGATTACGTTATATTTCTCGCTTGACTTTACTGAATTTTTTGCTCTACAAAGTAGGTTTGTGGGTTAAATGTCATCCTACTCCAAGCACGTAAAATGACTCGCTATTTCACCCTAGAATATTCTGTTTTGATGGACCAGTGTTGGCCTATTAGCCAATAATAAACCTATTTGTTTTCTCGTTATAATTATAAATACGATTCTACAGCCACTGAAAATGATTCATTGAAAAGAAAAACTTTTTCGTTGAATTACTTTGTGTTTCTTGAGTATCGCAATGGGCTTATTTTCCCATTCTCCATACAACTGGAATATGAAACAAGTGATAGGGAAAAAATGAAAATAGAACAGCAGCAACACTATAAATGTAATGAACCAAGCCATCCGTAAACTGGAATAGACAACAACACAAAATGCGTATAAAAGCGATTTACAAATTGAAGTTTGTAAATATGCACATAACTGCAATCTGACGCAGGTGTGAGTGTGTATGTACAGAAGCACTAACTAGATGTTTACGATATGCGTACGAGTGACAGTGTCACGACTAGTAGTGAATACAATGACGTCAACTGGTCGTTCTTTCTTCATCAACTGTAATAATTAAGCTAACCAACACAAGAGACAGAGACAAAATAGCATAGCGTATAATTTATTTACATGTAACGAAAAAACATGAAAAAATACATTAAGTAGAAATCTTCAATAATATAAAGTAGGGGGAAAAGGAAACAAATGTCTTACACACATATGCTCTGCAGGCGAAAGATATAGACAGGCTGATTCTACTTTTCTCCTTCATGATGATGGGAAACTGTACACACGCATAAAAGAAATGAAATAAAGAAAGAAGGAACAAGACATTTTTCCTTGTTGTTTATGTGATCACCATGCCTACTGACAATAGTGTGCAAGTGTAATAATAGTATGTTAACTATCACAGTTGTCTTGCTAGTATCCTTCGGCTTTCTGTGGTAGTAAGCTATTCAGCTCATCAATAGAGATAAAAACACTCACGTAAAATGAAGACAGAAGGCAGACGAAGCAGTGGAGTGTGAAGAAAGAGGATAGATCAACTATTCAGATTTCTATAGAAAAATATTTTTTCGTGTGAATTCAAGTGTGTTCTGGATCTCTGAAGTGCACACACACCTCTTCATACAGGAATGATCATATATATATATATATATATATATATATATATATATATATATATATATATATATATGCGCAAATGACAAATAAAGAAGAATCTTTCTCCAACTTATTGACAGAAATCGAAATCGGAACAGATTTGTCAGCGTAGAACAGGATAAATCAATTAGGGAAATGGGATAAATCTTAAATATACATAGTATAGTTAGTTAAAACAATAACTACAGTTTATTCCTATCGCGATCATAATGGTTAACTGACTCCAATGTAAGGTTTTACTCGAGGAAGAAGAAGAAAAAGAAGAGGTATTTGTGCTTATAAAACAAATATATTCATTAATTAAGTAATAGATCCGAAATGTGCTGTTAAATGCTTCTCTAGTTGAATCAAGGAATTCTTCGCATCCTCCATAAGCTGTGTGTGTTGGGGAAACAAAATGTAATTAAAAAAACAACAGTATAACATATCAAAGCTGTAGTAGTTCATTGTTTGTGGAGCTACTTCAACATCTGGTATGCTAAAATAAAATTCTCCCTTTTCTCTCAACAAAAATGATAGGCATATGGAGGTTGGTATTCATCAACCAACCTGAAATCAATAAATAAAGCACCCACAAACCTAAAAATTAAATTGGTCTAATGTTCATTGGCGACGCGCGTTGAGAGGTGATTCCTGAAGTTCCAATGAGAATCGTGACCGGTGGGGCCAACCAAGTCAAACAGAACAGTTTACTCAACGACACCAATGGAGGTCGCGCTATGTCGTAAACTGACGATAGGTTGACTATTCGCTTTTGAATCAGTGACTCAGTGGTTACGTGCTGACCGCGGAACCCGAAGGACCTAGGTTTGATCCCTGCCAGGATAATGAGTGCGCGCCGTTTAGGAGTCCTATACTAGGAAGAAACAGCTGTCCAGTGCTCCTAAGTTTCCAATGTTTCTCAAACTGCTGTCAGTTTATGATGAATACCAACCTGAAAACAAAAACTAGCAGTTTACACAATTCATGCTTCTGAATAGAATGGGCGACAGAGTAGCAATTGTTACAAGACGTTAATCTGGGAAGGAATAGCTGGGTGGTACTGACTACGATGACAGCAAGGGGTGGCATTAGTAGAAATATGTAGAGAAACACAAATCCCCTCAAAGTTAGAGAAATATTTAATTGGTGAGTATAAACAAGCTACCTCAAAAATCGTGATATTAAAATTCTGTCAGTTAATAAAAACTTAGTAAACCGGAAATATTCATCTTTTAGATACTGTAATACTGTAAAATACCAGCATATCCAGTCGTTTTGTAATGCATATTATCATTAGAGAACTATCCTGTTGAAAAAGAGACACCTTAAAGTACAGAACATCTGCAGGTGAGAAATTCAAAGGAAATCAATGAAGATATGGTGCAAATATTGAATGACAAGTATCGATGACAATTACATGTGGCAATGTAATGAACAAGCCCACCAATTGATGGTTTTGAAGCTGAGGATGTGGAACACAATGAAATAAATCGAGGGACTTCAAAGCTTGAATTTATAGACCCTTTATTTGAAAGAAAAAAAAGATCAAACCATTTTAAACACTGAGTAGTCAATGTTTTCTTTTATACTAGGATTCAGAAGCACGTGGTCAAACCGATAGGTATTCGAGCTAGCAGGATTTTATTGATTGGATATTTTACGTAGTTAATTTAGTCAATACGCCTAATGAACTATGTAGCATTTCTCTGAATGTATAGAAGTGGGTTATGAATTTCAATACCCCAGAGAGTTAACAAATTCTACACTAGCGACCTTAGCTACGAATATTTCTGTGTTATTTTATTTTGTGAGATACAATACAAAAATCAACTGGGATGCAATTAAATTTTCAATGTGAACATTTATCAGAATGTCCATTACATCATGTAGGAATATAAATTCCATGGTAAACTTCAAATAACTGTTTAATTTCGTCTTTTTTTTTTTCATTGCGATAAACAATTTTTAAAAATTCAATAACAAATGCAATTAATTACCTCTTTGTAATTTTACAAGAATTCAATATAAATAGCTAAAATGTTCGTCAAGGGGTAGTGTAAGAGAGAAAGACAGACAAGACATTAATCTGAATTGCTGAAAATGAGTTTTATGTATACAGGCAAACACATTACACTGATGCTACTAATGAAATGTATAGTGTGTCATTCCATAATCCATCCTAGATGAAAACGAGATGATTGTTACAGTAAGTGGCGAACCACACAGAAAAGCATTTATGTGATACTCTGGGAATCTAAGCCAAGCGAACCAATGAAGGTGATAAACTACTGGGATTGCGCTCAGACAACCAGTTATTCATAGTTGGCACGAACTTCAGAGGTGCATACTGTCTGATGTGGTGACAATCAATCTAAATTAACCGGTTAACACAAATAGATTACATCGTTAGGAGTCATTACAGGAGACGGTTGGAGAAAGACTGTCAGTCCTTCTGGAGTATGTATGCTTGAGCAGTGTTCACGTGCAAATATGCAACTGAATAGAATAAAGAGGACTGCATATGGATAGTAACTCCAATCTCCGTTCAAGGATGAAGATGCTAAAACTGCTTCAATGAGGAATTGGTTATCAGTTATAAGGATATAAAGTGATCTAAGCGTAAGTTCAATCTGATTCGATAAAAACAAGCTTAGAGACTTTAACTTAGCAGGTTCACATTGAATATTGGACGCGCATGAAATCATTTCTGAAGGCTTCACGGACAATGAGGAGCCGAAGCAATCTTAAAAAACTAGTAAAGAATCTACATAATGATTCTGAACAGCAAAGACTATAAAGATGGAAGGCGTTAAAGCAATAAGCATTAGTGAACATTTCCACATTTATTAAGGAAATGGATGGAAATTTAGTGGTTAGTTAGACTATAGTGCGTAGGGATCAGTAAGAGATACCTTCATAGAGTAAATAGTCAGAACGATGAACGAAACATTGCGATGGCTCACCTTCAGTTATCTTTCCGGTTTCTCACTATCTAGTCAAATCTTGAATGACACACTGACATATGGCATCCCACTTCTTCAGAAGTTGAAAAGTTTATGAATAGCCCCCGACCAGAAACCGTATCCGATATTGATAGGCTTGTAATAGAGGTAGTTAAGGACGATGCGCCAAAACCACTGATTGCATTGGTTGATATACTACGTGGGGTTCGGATATCAGGTATGACTCATTTCGACGGTTGACAATCGCTGATTGATCCAGTCCCCGAATTACAGAGGAATCCTGTTGTGATAACCGCAGAGGGGTCAGTCTAGTCAGATAATATCTAAGCCTTTGACCTATATAATCACTCGACACCCTACAGGTTCTCGAAAGCAACAAAACTGAGGAGGCTAGACCGGTTTCATATACCATATACAAATAAAAAACGGTCAGGTAGGAAGGCTGACTTAAAGGCCGAATAACAATGAAAATCAATAGAGCGAAAAAATAATAGTACATTGAACTTGGTTTTTCAATAGTTGAATTTACCAAGGAAGGTTTAATGTGACAACAAATTGTTTATGAATACATACAGGTAGTTTCAACTTCCTAATAGCTAAGGCTTCAACAAATTTCAGGATCCCTCCACAACATGTTTTGTAAATAGGTGTAAAGGAAGTAGCCACATCAATCTTGTGACCTGTCTCAACGATATGTTTAGCGATCGAAGAACTTGGACGTCTGCTACCAACATTTGTAGGTTCAGGTGATTTAATTTGCTTCTGAAGCCACTTTGGAATATGTTCCGAGGCCCTTACTTGCATGGATCTATTAGTCCTCCCTATGTATGTGTCACCACACGTACATTTGAATTGGTAGATACAATGGGATGTGACATTATCGTTCACATGCTGTGGGGGTTTGGGGGAATATAAGGGCTTCGTGGTTTCGATTACTCGAACCCTGGCTGCATAGTAAGTCCTTCTAACAGCAGCGTTAAGTCTCTGCTTAAGGATTGCACTCTGAGAGTCACCTTTGTACGGAAGGCTGATGAAGACATCCTTCTTTGGGACTGACTGAAGTTCTAGTTTTGACGCTCTGCTGATTTTGTTCTGCCTGATAAATGTTGATGGATAGTTATTTTCCAACAAAATATCGGTCAGTGTTCCTCTTTCATCTTCTAAAGTATCCTCGGTGCATATTCGTTGAATTCTGCTGAATAGGCACCTTACTACCGTTCGCTTGTACTGAACTGGGCAAAAGCTATGGTAATTCAGATATTGCCCTGTCCATGTAGGTTTTCTGTAGATAGATCGTTTTATGGATCCATCCTGCCTTCGACTAATTCATATATCTAGGAACGGCAAGCAGTCATCTTCCTCTCTTACACATGTCAAAGATATGCTGTTCTGTACTTCGTTCAGTCGGTTTAGAACTGAAGTAGCCTGATTTGAGTTTTCACAAATAATCAGGATATCGTCAACATATCTTCGATACAGATGGGCTTGGTCTATTGAGTTCTCGATGTGTTACATAAATATGTCGGCTAAGAGGGAACAGTTTAATTCGTTTTTGCAAATTAACACCACCTGTGACCCTGGTAACATATGTCATAACACATTATGGTTTGAGTTTAATGAGCAACAGTTCGCTCTTTCATACGACACAACTGTGAAACGTAGGAAAATTAAGGATGGCTAATAAACGAAGGCTATAAGTGAGTAACAGCAAACTTAAGGGTATTGACCGCATATCGTGAAAGCAATACATTGGTAATACAATAATTAGGCGTAGAGTCTTAGATACAAGAGTTAAATTAATGAGTTGTAAATTTGCAATAAAATAAAGTAGCCTATATATGTTACGCATGTTAAGAATTCGTTGCACAAAGTCACCTGGATTGTTTCGACGGAAAAGCAGTTAGGGTTACTCGAACAAACATAGAATCAATATATGAAACTCTGGGTGTCAGTTTAATCGTGTAGAAAAATGCAGACTTCCAGGCCTAGGTCCATATGATAACCGAAATTTGACGCATGGAGAATTTTAGTGATATGAACCAGAAGCTAAAGCAGTGGCACAGAGAAATTCACACCTCAACTTCACTTTAACCGTTATATCATATTTCGCTCAGAAAATTACCTCCTCTTCCTTTGATTATCAGTGACTCTTGATCATATTATTTGTATTGCTTGGCATCCTTATATGCTAATATGAAGAATATATAGTCGAATTGTTGCACAGTAATACCAAGTCACGTGTTCATACTGACTGTCTTGTTTATGGCAGTAAGGATTGATATTTTGTCCAAGTACATTTTAAACACTAAGGAGAAGCAAGTATCTCCTCGTCTACTGTGAAACAGTGAACATCAACCACACTTCAAATGAGAAGTGATCACTTATTGTTAGTAATATCAGTTAATGTATTTTATCACATCAAATATGGAACAGAATAATTATGATTTCAACCCTAACGCTTGAAAACGTAAAAATTTCCAAGAACGTTAGGCACTATTTAGTAGTTAATGTGGAAAAGATCAGTTACCAGAGTTCATAGGGAAAACAGTAACTTTTAGGCAAAAGAAATGACTTAACAATGAGTGGGACAGGTTACTGAGAACCTCCTCTGAAAGAGCTATCTTTTATACTTGTATATGATTATTAGGCCTAAAATAAAAACAGGAGTCGTAGTCAAACTCCATTAACTGCGATATAAGACATAATTTTCATTTTCAGTAGCTTGATATTCCATAGTCTTTACTGTTTTCTAGCTCTGGAAGTAGTTGAAAGAAGCATATAACTGGTAATTGTATAATGTGGCATAGTGAAATAAAGGATAGGTGAGCTTAGCTAGAACATGTTAACACACTACAATTCTAAAGGTGGGGTGTTAGAGATCCAGGAGCTCAGAAGTCGGAAAAAGCATGAGATATAGATCATGTACATTATTTCCATCTTTAATCAGTATTATATAACAAAATATTTATCATCCAATCGCATTGAAACACACTTACTTCATCAAGTCGAAAATAAAGGAAGAAGGATTGAATTTTAGTTCGAGCTTGACGTGAAAATGTATATGATCCAAGCAAATCAGCAATCAGTGTATATGTGCAAGCACTGAAAAGTTGGACAGAGTCTTTTGAATTTTGTTGAGTGATTATAGCTTTTTTTAAAAGACGATCCAACGTACTATCGTAGGGAGATGAAATTACATTAGGAAGTAAACTGCATATCGAGTCTGATAATTCATTGTACCATAACTCTTGATCAGTCAACGGTCCTTCAGATTGAGAAAATTCGATGGGTTTTATAAAACAGAAAATTTAACGACAAAATTAGTACGTTTAAAATATCATATATATAAGGATACACATTAATTCATGAAATTGTTTTTACAGCATGAAATTCAATGATGAACAATATAGGGTGATAGAAAAACTATTTTATTTCAAATGTAGAACGCAGTGAGCTGAAATTTGAGTATGTTTGGGATGCGTTTCACACCTGTCAAATGTAAGCTGATGGCTCTAGGACAGGTCTACAACCAATCCAATTTAAAGACAGGTTGTGAAGTGGTGGAATGTGTCAACCACTTCACTTATTTTGGGGAGTTGCATCAGTTCGTAGAGGCTTGTTCCCGACGAAATCTCAGCTCATTTATAGAAGGCCTGTTCAGCGTTTACCAATTTGCATCATTTGTGTGCCGACTGGCGAGACACCCAGTTATCTATCAAAAGACGAGTAAACTGTGCTGCAGTCCGTTTTGTCCAGCTTTGTGGCTGTGATACATACCCGTCAAAAGAAGAAGACATGAAGTGATTATAGGGTATCGACCACAGATGTCTTCGTAGCACTGCTCAATTTTAGTGGTATCACCGTGTGAACAATGTTGAAGTCAGGCGAAGAGTACGAGGCAAGATACACAAGTCCATTGATGAGGTAATGAACTTTAGTCGACTGAGATGATATGGACATACATATACTGTGTTATCCACACCGAGCCACCACCTACTTCGATGTGTCATGTCAGAGGAAGCTGAATTAGGTTGAAAGAGGATTCAGGGTGGCAAGACCGAGCACCAGTCAGTGATGGTGCAGTGTTGGTCTGAGTTGGATCTGTAGATGTAGACTAACTAGCTGGTTGTGGTCTCCGAGACGAAAAGAAATCAATGGTTGAGGGACATCTTGGTGACATGGTTGGAAACTAGTCACAATGACGCAAATGTATTCACTCCTTGACGTCTAAAGCTTGAATATTCGCACTTTGATCATCAAACTGTTCGTTCTGCAACACAACTTTGTGAACTCTGATATCACTCTTATTCTACTCATCCGTTCTTTTTATGCTGCTATGAAGTATTGCAACTTGAGTGAATGCACCTATGCGCGAAGTTCTACCTTGATTCCATCGGTCTTATCAAAATGCGTAAAAATAAAGGTTTCTAATAAGAACAATTTTAAGATCAACCATATTTTCGAGAATTGATATTATCAGAAGAAAAACACTAAGCAATGTCAAGACGTAGTAAACTATAAACAAGAAAAAAGCACCATTAAATACGAAATTAAAATATAAATTAGCCTACACGATTCAAATATGATTCATTTCTCGATTAACTTCAAACTCTTTGATCACCTGATAACGGAGAATAAGAGAGTGCTGAATGATGAACAACTCAGAGGTATGCATTATGTAAGTGGAAATGTTGCATTGAAAAATAATGTCACCTATTGGCATACGTATGTGAACAAAAAGCAACACTAAAACCAGCAATTAAGTACGTAATACTAAACTAACCATTATTATTCTGAATGGATGATGAACACGACAGGGAAAGACATTTATTCGTATATACAGAATTTGACGAGATTTCAGCTGATTTATCATCTTCATTATGGTTTGTAGCTTTGTGTTTATGACATACTGAAGGGTGTAGCTGCAGCTTTTTAATGCCAGTATGTTTTGCATCATCCATGTTATTATTGCTTGGAACAACACAATCGTCAGACAACAATTTAACAACATGAGGTTTATGTGTATTCTTATTTTCTTGCAAATTCACCTCGTTCATTTCAGAAGTAGTAAACCAACTATTAATTGCATCTAGTTTTTCTACAGGATTCGTTGACAGACTTGTATTACTGGATTAACATGAAGTTTAAAATAAAGGCAAAAAAAGATATAAGAGTAACTGAAAACCACTCAGCTAAATGGACTAGTGATATTTAGTGGAATAATAATGATGATGAAATGTGTTTTTTCAGTGACACCAGAGTCTTTTGAATAAGTGTCTCTATTGCCCGATAAAACACCAGCTCAATTTCACATAAATTAATGTCATTATTAAAACACAAATATGGTAAAGCAAGAGCACCAAGAAACACGCCACACAAAATAATAAAACACTATTCCAAAAACACAGAGAAAAGAAAGGGGCTAAATAAAAAGGAGGAACGGAAGGATTAGAAAGTCAATCCAATAAGATACATTCAAAACAAAATATTGATTACTTTCAGGCAACAGAAGAAAGAAGCTACAGCATGACCGTCACTGGATTTGATTCCGAACTATAACTGATGTCTCAGACTACTGGATAGCGTGGTCTCATGGACCCCAGCCGGAGAGTCGTGATGCATCAACACATGCTAACCCGATACAACTATCCTTCATCCCATGGCGCCACGTCATACACTGACCATCCCTCCGCTTCTTCTGTCCAGTTCCTGGGCTAGCAAACTATGAACAGTATGGAAGTCGTTGGGATGACATGAGTAACACATGTTCAAGTCACCGAAGCCGGTGTTTCACGATAACTTCACTTATTGAATGACGATCTCCATCACCCTCAAATACTCGCTGTCATACCTCTTAATCACTTACATGGTATTTCCACCGGATACGAGCAATCTTAAGGAGACAACGATGATCGGACATATACAGTCGTCATAAATCTTCAGCCCGAAGAGTCCAGGTTTCACAGACGCATAACACTAAAGCGTTGTAAAGCCGACATTTTTCGGTCAGACTAGCGTCGTGACGGCGCCAAAGGTGTTCCAGATTGGAGTATGACACTCTGGGTTTTTTTATATGAGGTTGAAAATTTCATCAAGCATCTCCACTGGCACTCATATAACTACTCAGAAACACGAACATTTCAACTACTTCCAACGGCTCATCACAGAGGGTGAGCGCAGACAGTGGCTCCTGCCAATCTTGCAAAAGTACTTTGCACTTCGATGGCGCAAAGCACATACCATACTTACTTATTTCATATAAATGGAATGAAAACAAATACTTATCAATGATAAGCACTTTTGAAATACACGTTATAGATTGCTCAAAATTACTAGGACCGAGGGTGAATAATATTAAAAGCAAATTACCTGAGGTAACTGAGAAATTGTACCAGCTCAGTCTAAAAATTACCTGCATATTATCGTAGACAGATACAGGTCGGTACAAATGGCAAGTTAATTCTGGTGCAGAAATGTTTACCTTCAAAAAAACCATGCTTTTGCTATCCAAAAAGCTCTCAGTAAAGATGTATACTACCCCAAAAGTGAAAACAATATTACCAAATGACTGAGGAGAAAAAACTACAGATAGACAAATGCTATCAAAGAGACAGTATTTGGTTCCCCTAATTTTCTTCTATCTACCTATAGCCTTTTACAGCTTCTACAGGCAATCATTTTAAAAAGTAGGGTCAAAGAGATCAAAAAATTTATTAGTGATTAACAACAGCTATTCTACATTTCCAGCTTACTATAGGAGTGATTGGACGATTGATCTATTTGAAACGCTTTGAGCAACCTAGAGATAAACTAGAAGACCAGGATACACACGCACGCCAGCTTAATAATGTGTAAATGATATCAGGAAAGGTAGAGAAAATCGAAGAGGCAGCATATATTTCGAAGCATTTTTATATCACCCATACAAGACAAAAGATCGAGGCATTGGAAAGTCTTTTAGGGAGGTAAACATATTGTTTAATCAAATTTATTTGATTCACAAACCTGATTTCTAAGTCTTCTAACTTCAAACGTCCGAGTAACAGGTTATCATACATAGAACAACTGATTTAAATGAGATTCTGAGTATTACAAGACGCTGTTAGCTGGAGATTCCATCACTAGCATATACCTAACATCTTCGCTTCTATAAAGCTGCTGAAACGGAGAGTAATGTACCATTACAGTTGACTTATAACAAGTGCCACTCAGTGATACAGTATTATTTACTGTTATATAATTATTTGTCCATTGGGTTTCTTGTAGAACATAGGGTCCCAGTAGCACGTCTCAATTCCACTCTTCTCTGCAGTCTTTTCGACCTGGACCCACGACTGCCTACAAGCTCTCATTTCCTCTCCACACCATCTCCCCTATGTCACCCTCAGCTGGGACGCCCAACTCGTTTCCCCTTTGGATTTCATTCGAGGGCCTGGCCTGGCGCGTGATATCCCCAAGTGGTCTCCTCAGTGTATGCCCGGTCCATCTCTACTTTCTTCTGCATATTTGTTGGGCGATAGCTTCTTGGTTGGTTCGTTGTCAGGCCGGAATTTCTTGTTGCTTATTCTTACTATTCTGACCATCTGATCTTCAGTATCCAGAATAGGGAGCTGTTGATGTATGTCTGCAGTTTGTTGGAATTGTTTTTCGTGACACGCCAAGTTTCTGAACCATATAGAAGCACTGACTTGACATTAGTGTTGAAAATCAGGATCCTGATCTTTATGCTGAGTACAGTAGATCTCTATACTGATTTCAGGTTAATAAAGGCCTGTTTCGCTTTTCCGGTCCTGGCTTTGACATCCTCATCTGTGATATCTGTAGTTGAAACAATACTGCTTAGGTAGGTGAAAGAGACAAACTCATTTACATTTCTCCTGTCAGTGGTGACTGGTCTTTGTTGTTGTTGGTTGGGTACCTTCATCACCACTGTCTTCTGTACGTTCACTTGAAGTCTAGTCTTCCCTGCCTCGCCTCTTCTGTCAACTTGTTGGTTTTCGCCTTTACATCTTCCAGTTTGTGAGATAAGACATTAGACATAAGTCATCATCGGCGAAATTCAATTCCAGGCTCTTTTCATCGGTCCAGCCACCATATGTCCATCTTCTCGCTCCTCACAGTTTGTTGCATGATCCAGTTCAGTCCAGCCAACCACAATCAGGTAGATGGTCGGTGATAGGTAGTTGGCAACTTTGTCTTACTCCTGTCTTCACTTCAAAGGCATCGCTGAGCTTTCCACTGTGAATCACTTGGCATGTCGTATCCTCCTATAGCTTTTGAATGACGTTGATACTATTATATGATAGTGACGATTAATAATGATAGTGAATCAGCTGGAGTGGAATTACATCCCGTCACAATCGACAAGTTTTACTCGTGTATTAACAGAGTATTACAGAAAAAGTGTGGAGAATGTCAAGAAAGTTTACACCATCTATTAATACAGGTGGTATGCAGCATGGAACACAGCGTGTTTTGCACGCCAATTAGGTTTCATGTGAAAGCTGGGTGCACAGAGTATACCATATAAAGGAATTAACAACTGATTGCCAATACGTTGCTTTTTTATATTCTAAGTCAAAATCGAAGTGGAAATGCACTCAGTAACGTCGTGGACATTCATGCAGTAGTAGGCGACGAGCCAGACCTATTTTGTGAGAGCTAGTGATAAAACGTGACTGACCAAACCTCGGTAGATGGAGCGAGGCTCGAACTTATGACCAACTGTTTGAAAGTCATCTCTCAAATCAGTGAGCCATAGGACTACTTTTTCATATTCGGGAGTATAATAAATCAAATTCTAAAAAGACTTCTGTTTCACATACAAACAGAAACCCTGTTAGTTACCTAAAAATTGATAAAAGGCAAGGAAAGAAAAAGGTACTAGGTAGGCCGTAAGCTACATCTATCGAGCGAAGTTTATGATATTATTCGTCTGTACAAAAACCTTAGCAGGTGGAATAGACTACCAACCTGTGAAACTGACTGACATTCGAATATTTAACACTTAATCAGCTGCAGTTATTGAAGTATATGACATAGGTCTAACTATTCACTTCACTGGATAAGAAAATATTGCAAAATTAAGTGAGGTGGAGGGGGGCGAAACAAATAAAGAACAACTTACGGATCCTTATTCGCTAAGTAGTTATCTCCAGATGGTATGGTAGGCTTTTCAGAAATCTGCTTCCCTTCATCCAACTTAAGAGAATATTCTCTGCTTGTTGGACTTTCTTCATGTGAGGATGCATTGTTCGAATGATCAGTGATTTGTATATCAGATGAATATAATCGATTTTCATTATCCGAACTACCATTGTTGTTGATTAAAACTTCACCAACATCAGGATTCGATGAATCCACTGATATTTCATCTGGTATGGAGGATAGAGCAGAGAATTTACGATGAAAAAATGCAGATAACATCATTTGGGCATCAGCAGCTACATCAATGAAAGACTTGTAATTCTTTGATAAATTCTGTCCACTGCATGATGCTAATGAACAATGTGGATCTTCAAAATGTCTACGAGTTGTTGATTGATCACCGAATGACAATAACTGTGTAAATTTATTAACATTGATAGGATATCTATAGTTTGTTGTATTATTATTCTTTTTATATCCAAGAACACGTATATCTATAGGCAAATAGATAGTTTGATTCCTGTTTTTCAGATTAAAAAGTGAAGATGACGGAGATGTATCACAACCATCAGTAGAGGCTTTGATGTTGATCATTCATGATCGTCAACAGGAGTCAATCCATTTGAAGTAAACGAAGTTAGACTATAAGTGTTTAGTAGAAAGGTTTCATGATTTTTGTCAATAAAAAAACGAAAAATTGAAGAACGTTTAAGCTGCTGGTAGTGATAACAAAATAACAATAGTAATAGTAATATGAAAAATATACATATAAATACTTAAATATTGGAGCGAATTTGAAGTAGCATAACGTGAGAAAATATGAAATTACTCTTAGGTAATAATCCAAATGAACTTTGGCCTTATTTCAGTCATTTTAAACTATAATGGCATTTGGATGATGGCTACTGTACATCGCGAAGTGATATAAATAGACAAATGTGGAGCGCTGGGTCCCAACTCAGTGGTTCAATGATAACGTGCTCACCGTGAAACGTAGAGTGACTGGGTTCGATTACTGGCAGGGTCAAGGTTGCGCACTGATGAGTCGCACACTAAGACGAAACAGTCATCTGATGCTCACAGTCTTCGAATGTTTTTTTCAACTGATGGGACTCTAAGATGAATATCACTTTGGTCTATATTCTCATAGCTTTTCACATAAGAGAAACTATAGGGATTTGTGACAAAATGGGACTATGCTCAATTTTTCCCATAGGGTTGTGTCAATCTAGACCAACAGTCTTTGAATATATTCGAGATTGAGAAACAGCATGCACATACAGAGCAATAAAGAGAAAAAAGCAAAACAGTAGGTAAAAGAGAGGAAATTGTGATATTATCAGTAGTGAAAAGAAATATGGGATAGGAGAGATAGGGAGAATACAAAGGATCGATGACAATTACCAGTACAATTTCGAAGGTCTAGAAATCAAGTGGATGATACATAGGAAATGTTATGGCTATTAAGGATGCCTTACATTTCTGATTTACTATTTTTAGTTTTTAAATGGCTTTTGTTCCCAGTCTTTTTCTGGCACATAGGTTAAGTTTGGCTCCTAGTCTATTTCAGTGAACCTAGTTATCCCCTGCACTTCAAGGTCATTCTAATTTCTATGTATTATGTTCGTTTTTATCAATACAAATCTTCAGTTCGAGATACTATGAATCTAACTGGATACAAGTCTTTTGATGTCACTCTATGAATTAGTCAGGTTGAACAGTCTCACCCCCAGATCCTTAAATCGTTAAATATTCTCCTTCGTTTTTAGCAACTCCGCTACACAACACTGGCAACCTCAATTGGTAAAAAAAATACCAACTTCGTTGAGTATTCCTACGTTTAACCGTTGTGTTGAGCACAGTGATTCCAACTTAAAAGTGAGCGGTTGCATGACGACAAAAATCTTTGAATTTTGTAATTAGTTGACCAATAAACCAGATGGATGGAATATTATTCAGGTTCAGTGAATGGAGAGTGCGGCAAAGGATCATCTATTTCTAAAAATTATAACACGTACATGCAACATCGATCAACTGTTACACTAACTAGTTTATTAACGCAAGCCCAATACAGTAAATTCATTACAAACATGTCCATAATAATAAAAAGTTGAAGAAGCTGTGGCATACATAATGAAACGTTCCGAAAAATTTTGTTTTTCATTTTCTAAACACGCTGGGATTATATTAAAACTTACTTATAGAATCAAAAAAATTGAATTGTCTAAAGAATATCACAACCCATTAGAGCTATATTTAACAAGTTTTATCACTGTCATGGTAACCTCACCTGGTTAACTAGTGCACTAGTTACTACCCTGCCCAGCCCGGGTAAAGAGAGAAATTTCGGCGTAAGGCTAGCAACCCTAACCTGCAAAATAAATCTAACCGCTAAACAAACATCAAAGCACAAACAAAATAAAAAAATAATAAAAAAAATTATTCCTCCCTAGAATCAGAGAGGCGAAATGACGCCAGTTGGTGAAATCATTCGGGAAGCCAATTGGCCGATGTGTCTTCTCTTCTCTCGATGAAAGCGAATGTAAACATGGGGACATGGAATGTTCGCACCATGTTTGAACCCAGTAAGGCAGCACAGATTGCAAACGAGATGAGAAGGTATCACATTGAAGTGCTTGGAATTTGCGAAAGCTGATGGAATGGGAGTGGACTCTCCAAACTGTCAATTGGAGAATAAATCATCTACTCCGATATTGTCACCAACACGACAACCACCAGCACACTGAGTTACCGAGTGACTATCATGATGTCCCCAACAGCATCGATGGCTCTCTCTCATGCAGTGGGACTCAATCTCCTCCTCCAGGATCATGACAGCAAGATTCAACTCATAAGGAAGGAGGGTTACAATCATACAATGCTACGCTACGCACATACAAATAATGCAGATCAACAGAGGAGGGAGGAATTCTACAGACAACTGCAATCAACACTGAACAAGACCCCACTCCAGTTGGCGATATCAAAATTCTAATGGGTGTGGCGACATGAATGCCAAACTGGGAGGGGACAACACAGGAAGAGAACTAACTGATAATGGGTCGAGAAGCGCTCGGTGAGGTGATGAAAGAGAATGGAGAATTGTTTGCAGAATTCTGTGCATTCAACGATTTGGTGATTGCAGTGAGGCAGTGAGGCAGTGTGTTCAGGCACAAGGATATCCACAAAGCTAGCGACATGGATTCCAGTTCACCAGACACCACACACACCACTAAAAATCAGATCGACTTCATCTCAATTTCAAGACAGTGGAGACGCAGCCTACTTGACACAAGGTGAAGAAGAGGAGCAGATGTAGGTTCACATCACTCACTGTCTAGTGCAAGGAACCCTCCAAATCAAGTTGAAAGCCTTCAAGGAAGTTGGTGATCGACGGCCACAGTTGAAGTACAACACTCAGAAACTGAAGGATGAAACTACAAAGGAGATCATCACAGCAGCCAGGCATCAAGACAAAATGGGAGATATCGAGCAACGTCCCTGAAGAAACCTGTGTGGAAGAACACTGGAAGTCTTTGAAAGAGACACGAAACACAGGCAAGTGAAGCAGAACAGGATGCAGGTAGGAGAGACACAGACCTGACAACATTGTGTCAAATAACAAGGTTACTTTCTGGGAGGGGAAGAGATCAACACAGATGAAACCAATAAAATATGATGAAGGGAATTTAATTACGAAAGAAGAGAAACAAAGGAAACAATGGGCTGAACACTTCAAAAAGCTCTTGAGTCGACCACCACCACCACCTGCAGTTCAGCCACAGAACTACAAGTGAACATAAATCCTCCAACAAAAGTCGAAGTCATGAACGACATAAAGTTGCTGAAATGTGGGAAAGCAGCAGGACCAGATAGAATCCCCCAGAAGCACTGACAGCAGACACAGAGACAACAGCGGACATGCTCACACCACTATTGCAGAAAGTGTGGAAGGAAGGGAAGGTACCTGCTTGTTGATTGGAAGAAGGGTTACCTTGTCAAACTGCCGAAGAAAGGAGACCTCAGTGTTTGGAAGAACTGGCACGGAATCACTCTCTTGTCCACCCAATGCAAGCAAAATATTAAGCCGCATCATCCTGGAGAGACTAAAGGATGCACTGGATTCAAAAGTACGACCGGAACAGGCTGGCTGGCTGGATTCAGGAAGAACAAATCATGTGCCGACCAAATTGCAACGCTACACTACGCATCATCATAGAACAGAGCATAGAATGGATGTCAACCCTCTACCTCAACTTCATCGACTCTGAAAAGGCCTTCGACAGCGTCAACCGAGAAGTAATTTGGCAACTGCTTCAACACTACGGAATACCACAAACCTTTATCAATCTCATTCAACAAATAACTATATGAAGACGCCATATGCCAAGTAATTCACAATGGGAAGCTCAGCTCAGTGATGCTTTTGAAGTGAAGACAGGAGTGAAACAAGGTTGCCTACTATCACACATGATATTCCTGATGGTTTTGGACTGGATCATGCAGCAAACAGTGGGGAGCTGTGAGAAGAGGGGGATAGGCTGGCTGGACTGCGGAAAAGAACCTAGAAGACTTGGATTTCGCCAACGATGACTTGTGTCTGATGTCACATAAACTTGAAGATCTACAGGCAACAACTAACAAGTTGACATAAGAGGTGAGGCAGGACAGCAAAGACGGGACTTCAAGTGAATATAGAGAAGACAGAAGTGATCAAGATACCGCACCATCAACTCCAACAACAACAACAAACTCCAGTCACCATCAACGTGGGAAACTTAAAGGAAGTAACCTCCTTCACCTATCTAGGAAACACTGTTTCAACTACAGGCGGCACAGGCACAGATGAGGATGTCTAAGCCAGCAAGGATCGGAAAAGCAAGACAAGCGTTCATTAATCTGAAACCAGTGTGGAGATCTTCTGCACTCCACTCAGCATGTGGAACAAGATGCGGATTTCAAACACCAACATCAGTCAAGTCAGTGCTTCTGTATGGTTCAGAGACTTGACGAGTTACGAAAGGGATTTCCAATAAACTACAGACATTCATTAACAACTGCTTACGCTGGCTCGCTACTGAAGATCAGATGGATTGCCAAAAAGAATAAGCAACAAGGAGCTCTGGGAACGAACCAACCAAGAACCTATCACCCAACAAATATGCAGGAGGAAGTGGAGATGGATTGGACTGGGCATACACTGAGAAAGCCGACTGGGGACTCACACGTCAGGCCCTTGAGTGGAATGCATGGGGAAACGACGAGTAGGGCATCCGAGGAGAGGGTGACATAGAGGAGATCGTGCGAGGAGGAAATGAGAGCTTGTGGGCTGTCGTGGAGCCAGGTTGAGAAGATTTCAGAGAACAGAGTTCACTGGAGACGTGCTACTGAAGCCTTACGTTCCATTAAGAACCCAAGGGACTAATAATAATAATAATCACTGTCAAGGGTATAGATAAATACATATGTTGAAGAACACACGGAGAAAAATTGCAAGAAATCGTCATAAAACTATATACAACTCGAAACTGCAAGTCACAGAAAACTGAGGAGAGAATAAGCCATTTAACCAACCTCCATGGCATCAATGTATGAAGTCTCTGACTGTTGGTTTGAGCCATGTGGGGCGATGTAGACTAGCCGATTGGGGTCAGCGGGACAAGAGGAACCAGTAATTGCAGACTCTAGGTGATATGGCTCAGAACCGATGTCAGTGGTGCAGATGTATGCACACACATTACCTTCATCTTAAAGACGCTATACCGAATCTCACCATTTTCTCATTCTTCCTCTCTCTCTTTGAGTACTTTATATCTCTTTTGACTGAATTTTCTTATCTTCATGTTGCGCTTTACTGCATTTTCACCTGGTGTAGTGATATGAGGTGTGGCAACTCGGACCGTTACGCAATAATGACTGGTCCTGTGTTGATAGTGATGATGATGAACCAACCTCCATGTTGACCGAATATTTAGATTGATCATCAACTAAATTTCACTCATATATTTTGGAAGTAATCTGATTGACAGTTTTTTGATAGACCCTATAAACTACTAGTTTACGTATGAAACAGTGTGCAAGTAATATCTTGAAGAACAATTGTACTTAGTAAAAACACTTGATCTAGATGAAATCAAATTTCAGGTTACAACGAGAAATCAAGAGCTTTGAGAGTATAACTCTGTAAACTATACGGTTAGATTAATAGTTATTATCAAAACCATAAAAGACAAGACCTAGAAAGCATGCGAACCGAATACACATACAGTTTTCGACAATTTTACTGCCATTATCAGCACTCTAACTGATAAATAAAGGAAAGGGTGTAGAGAGATAAGAAAAGGTAAAATAAACTCTTAATTACGAGCAACAGTGAATTACAGTGTTACTGATAGAAACGAAAGAGTAATGAAGGATATAATATTTATCATTCACCGATAGCATTTATTCACTAAACGTCAGCAACCCTGATACTCAGCTATGCTATTCACTTTCTACAGTTCCCGTAGGAACAGAAAGAAGAGTAAATTCGTGCCGTTTATCTGAATATGTGGGCGATATATGCAGAGAATACGAACGGCAGTCTATTGACAACAGAAACATTTGGAGGTAATCAACGACGTGACCGAACATTTGTTAGAGCTTACAAACATTAGACAAACCAACACTATCCTATCCTACTTCTGTGATTTATGAAATAATCTCATCTATTTTATCTTATATTTAAAGGTAGATGTTAATACTGGTAATAATGATTTCAAAAAAAGAAAGTATAATATAGGGATTTTGTCTCGATTGATGTGCAAATCGCAAAACGATAGAGAATATCTGTAGTTCTCAGGAGGAGGATTTTGATGGTGTGGTGTTCTCTGAGCTGAACAGTTTAATCACAGAGCCTTCATTATCATCCTAGACAACATCAGCATCAGCAAAAACTTCAGAAAGAAGTGAGCTATAGGGTTTTCTCCACAAGAGGCTTTGTAGGTTGTCTTGATGGCCTCGTTTGTGATTGGCTGTTTCTGCCAGTCTTGTCATTGACTCTATTTCAGTTGGTTGTCCTATCGACGTGAACTCTGACCTTTTTGTGGTTTCTTATCGGTCGGATCAATGTCAATATGTCTATCGATTGCTGACAGACCTAAGTGCTAAGTGTGTGAAAATTCTCTGAAATTCGTTTCATTTCCTCTATCCAGGATTTTAACATTTTCCCAGTCAAATTCATGTCCACAGTTGTCTGTATGCGTTGATATGATAGTTGACGTTCACGTGGACGGATTAAAAAGCCCCATAGCTCTTTTCTTTTGAGGTTTGCGATGAGATCTTGTCTAGAATGATAATGAGAACCATCCAGCTCAGAAAACACAAAATCAAAGTCGGAAAACGGTAAAAGCTTAGAATATCGCTTCATCTTATTGTTATGATCTGATAGCATTACCCCACAACTGAGTATGTGTGTATATGTTGGCAAAAAAATGGAATTTTATTGTCAGGTTAACCATTTGCAATTTTACACACTTTCCTAGAAATATGAAAATGGAAAAACAAACAAACCAGCCATTGTTTTCTTTATATGTACTAAAATTAGACTCAGATTAAAATTACCAAAAAAACCATGTTGCAAAATCAATCAATTCTGATGATTTTTACTAAAGATTGATGTGAATTAAGGTGAATGAATTAGACTGTTTCTAGTACATCAGGTAAATTATTTATCAATACTATGAACCGGGATCTATTGATATGGACAAAATGAGTGCCATATCACCACCCTCCTTCAAACATCATACTTTCGGACTATCGATACAACCAATAAATAACACTTAGATTAGATAAAGATTAAATGGTATCGTTTTTATAAAAGAAAACAATTTGTATACTCATTAATCTAGCAACTCAACTCAACCTTGTTTCTATAATACATACTCATCAATTAGAGTCATAGATCATATGCACTTCGTAAAGCCTAGAGAAGTATCAATAAGAGTTGCTAATAAATAAGACGTGTAAGACAAAGATTTAACTTGTGACCTGATGGTTGATCGATAATCCTCACTGTAGAATAGATTCACACGCTGTTCCTTTCTTCTGTATCCATCACCAACCCAGTGGAAGTTATAACTAATAATGAGTATTGTTGCGAAGATGAGTATGTGAAGCTGAATAAAAATCAACTTACACAGCTTGACGATGTAGTATACAATCACGATGTGTCCATGTTGAATAGGGCTGTTTAGAGGATAAAATGTTAACCCGTTGTACATCACAGTTAAATGAAGAAATTTGTGAAGATGAAGTTGATGAATGATTATCTTTAATATCTGATGGATTATGTTGATGACTAGTTGGTACATAAAATGATGAATGTTGTCCTAATTCACAAGTTGGTGGCGAAAACCGTCTATGACTAGGTGACCAACGACGATGTAACCATCGACGTGAACGACTCAAATTCTCAAATACTTGACTACGAACAGACGTTTTGAAAGACTTTTGTTCATTCACAGGATGTTTGTCAATTTCTGTAAACAAGGAGGAAAAGATTATAGGATAACGAAAATAAATTTAACTACTCATTAATTGTTACTTTACAAATTACAGCAGACAAGAGTTAAAAGTACAGTGCGATCGAGAATTAATCAGCTAAACTCTACACCAAATTATCATTTGAATAATCTGAGATACCTGTGGTTAGGTAGACTAGTATATATAGTGGGTGATGATTGAAGGTGAAATGAAAATTTGGACCGTGGCTGGATACGAACCAGCAACCACCAAGTTTCCGGCATGGTGCTCTGCCAACTGAGATACGAGGTTCAACTGCTGACCAGGTTTTTATTTCACTTCAATCATCAAAGGTTTTGGCCGGCTACCATGTAAATTCGTGACGCCTTATTACCGCTTGATCGTACTCACACTCAAGCAGTAGTAAGGTGTCACGAATTCACATGGTAGCCGGCCACAGGAAAACCCTTGATGATTGAAGTGAAATAAAAATCTGATCAAAAGTCGAGTCTTGTAGCTCAGTTGGTAGAGCACAGAGCCGGAAACCCGGTGATCGTAGGTTCGAATCCGGCAGCTGTCCAGATTTTCATCTCACCTTCAACTTACACTAAAATCCAGTGACAAACGATTCCGTTCGAAAAATCATATGGTCAGGTCAGACTTTGTTTCTGCAGGAAGATTTGACTTTCTTGGCGTTAGAAAACCTTATCAAAACAATGAGTATTTGAGATAAGCTAACGTGTGTTTACTAATTCAAGGGTAGAAAAATATATGCATTGTTCACTGAGAACATATTTTATGCGCACTGGGCACGATTTTGTGCTGGACAGGTTACATGTTTGTCAAATTTCTAAATGGTAAGCTTCTAAGCTTATTTAATCGATAATGAAATGGGGAAAATTTAATTTGTGGTTCAAAGACACTCGATTTTCATTCCATATGCTGCGATTTGGGTAACCAACCAAGATCAATGGTCCTCCAGCAAGAAAACGCGGTTCATTGACTAGTAAAAATGACCTGAATGAGATTGGTGGTTACATGTTTTACATAATTTACTTGGTTAATTTCAAATAACAACAAACCTTGCATCCATAACTGCACAATAAATAGGTAGATAATATCAACATGGAACCGTGAGTTGCTAAACGACGGTCCAAGTTGTTACACCTCATTAACAAAACAAGGTTGAAGGGTTCAAGGTGAAAGGAGTAGGAATATGGAATGAAATATTCAAAATTGCTAGAAAGTCAAGAAAGGATAACAAGGAGGAATGAGACAATACCGAAATCCACTATAACGATTAAGATGAAGATAATGTGTGCATGCATCCGTACCATGAAGAAAAATTCTTCGTTACATCACTTAAAATCACCAGCTACCGATTTCACTTGTCCTGCAGACTCCAATAGGAAAGTCCACATTCCGCTAGATGACCCAGATTAACAGTCGGGAACTATTTTATTCATACTTGTAATTACCCGTCTAATTGCTCAACCTCTGTTAGCAGATGGGCTCCTATGAGGATGTCCTGAAATTGCCCAGATATTCGTTACACTGTAGTCTATTTAGTGACTAGCAGAGGAGTCCGGAAAGCACGTTTCGTCCTATTCGGGACTCGTCGAGTGGATGTACCTCCACCCCAGTGAATAATGATGCCCCCATTGAGACTCCACGCTTCAAACGTCAAAACGTTATCCACTAGGCCAGTGGGGCACGAGAGCCACCACTTGTGCAACGGGTATCAGTTGTTATTTATTGACATGATGACTGATGCCATGTTTTCATCTGGCCACCTCTAATCTTTCTCCAGTCTGAATCTGCTTCAGCAAACATTTTACTATGGAGCAGATGGTAAGTAGACATGTATAATACACATTCTAGTCATCTGAGTCGATGAAGGTTTACAAACTCGTCAACTGACGTTCCTCTTCTGCTAAAAAATCTACACCCGACTTCTACGTCACTCACGTTGTGAAAATGCGAAACATGGCCCTTGTTACGAAGCCTTATCATGCCCTCTACCTTCAATGGTCATGTTTCACAGCTATGTAGTAGAAGAGGGTGAAGTGTAGAGGAGTACACTTGACCGTTAGTACGCAAGTAGTTGAAGTAGACAACGAACTCAGTCATTTCACTCTTAATTTTAAAAAAAAAACACCAATGAACACTAGTAGTACAAGAGTGACAACCTGGGTTTCGGTGGAGAGTAACCCATCCCAAATATTCTGAAACTGCTATCCAAGGTGTCCAGAAGACTCTGCACCTTATTAGAGTTCTGGCCTAACAGGACTGATGTCGTCTGCATTCTCTAGATCGGCTAAGGAGTCTCTTTTGATAAGACCAATCTTTATGAAGTCATGATGAGAGGGAGGTAAGACCAAATAATAGTGGAGAGCGCACATCTTTGACATACACATGTCACCTGAAACCTTACCACAGACTGTAACATGCCTACGGATTTTCGAATACAGAGCCTTTAAAAGGGTGATGGAATTACCTGACACTGCTTTCATTGAGAGACTGCTACAAGACCTCTTGATCGTCAGAATCAAATGTCACCTTCAGGTCAAGAAATATAGCTGGTGTCATAACACGATAGGTTTCCGTGCGTTTCAGAATCTTGCAGAGGATGAAGATGATATAATATAGATACACCCACGGCTACATCTGAAACCCACCTGGTTTTCTCAGGTTTGTTCTTTCCAAGGTCCACCCTGATGATGATAAAAATTAGAATCTTAGATAATATGTTCATCTGACTGATTCGCCTGTGGTTATCACAAGAGGATTTCTTACCACTCTTCGTAATTAAGACAATCAATGATTGTTAACACTCATCTGATTCCTATACGCTGGCTCACACCAGTTAACATTAGTAACAATATGGGACCACCGACTTTAAATAACTTCGGTACTAGCCCATCTGACGCTGCTGCGCTATCTCCTTTCAGATTATTTACAGAGCGCAATTTCTACGATGTTTGAGGCGCCCGTCTCAATGTTTCTTGCAAGACCCGACTGGTTAGCCGGTAACAGAATACTAGCTGCAAGCCATTTGAACTAGTCCAAGAAGTGTTCCACACATCGTTACTGCGAGTCAAGCTCAAAGGAATCCTTCTGCGCTGTAATCGCACTGATCATTGACGCCTTTGCTCTACTTCCCTTGGTCAGTCTAAACAACTGCCTACTGTCACCTATTGCCATCTCTTCAGTCTTTAAAACGCAAACTTCTCGCGGTTATTGGGTAGGCTGTCTGTCAAGTCTACATTTCAGTTGCTCCCGCTTCCGAATGTGCTCGGAGCCTCCAAGAATGCGTTCACATGAATCCATTAATTATCCATATATATATATATATATATATATATATATATATATATATATATATATATATATATATATATATATATATATATATTCTTTGGACAAAATCATGAGTGACTTACTGTTTTCTGTAGCTGGCTGAGCAGGCGGAATAACAACGGGAATATCAGTAGACAATCCCGTTGATTTATTCGCGTTTCGGCCAACTTTTTGGTTAGATACTTGTAAGCTCGATTCTGTTGTCCTATGCGAAGCCAACTGTGTAGTATTTAAAATTTTACTATAATTATTATTATCATCACCTTCATCATATATTTGTGGGATAAACAGCCAGCTGGTTGTAGCTTCATCTAACTCATAATGTTTACGATTTGACAGTTGGCTGTGGTCAGGCGCTTCTGAATGGTTGTGATTTCGAAGGTATCCATTTGGGCAGGACGCAATCAAATTTAAGCAAATCCATGCAATTCTGATAAAAATAAGGGAGGGTATACAGCAAAAAACGGTGATAACAAAAATAACTACCAACTTTAAAATGATGGTTTCTGAAGAACTTTGACTTGTGCTATTCAATAGATTATATAAGAAAGCATAAAGGGGTTTTCAGGGAGCTATCTGGCAAAACCGAGTAGTAGTTTAAACTACGATGGAACATGTGTAACTTTAGGCAAGGATGGTTTTTAGTAAAAACTATAACAAACTAACTGACACAAGAACTATTCACAATCAAATAACTGATATAGAGTTATGTACTTCTTAGTTTTCAGCATAGACAGAAATTTATCGATCAGGTTTTCAGTGTCGCCAGTAGCCTGAGTGACGCGATACTGAGGTGTACTGTACTTTGGTGTTATATGTTAGGAGTAAGTCGACAGCATGTCCTACACCTACCTAGGTTTTATGCCTTCAGACACTCAACAGCAAAGTGTATCATCTGCACACATAACAAACAGCGTATCTATTATTACGGGTGCTCCGTCGGTGATTCGAACCAACGCTGAGCACAGTGGTTCAGATAACTATGTCGGTTAGCCCACTAGTTACCGATTCGCATCCAAAATGGGTCAGTTCTGGAGATCATAGTCCGACGGTAAAATCTCTAGCTTTGTCACTGAATTGTGTAAGTTCAAATCCTTAGGGTAAACACCGTAGCAGATACACTTTGCTATTGAGTTTCAACAAGGGTTTTTTGTAGAATGACTCATAAACGCTTAGATTAATTTTCGTTTTTCAAAAAAATAGGATAGCAATGGAAAACAGTTGGATGCTTATTCAATGGTAATTATGGTGTAAGGAATACTGACTGTAATTTAATTGTAGGCTGCATGTATCACACAAGTATCATAAGTAAGTCAGTATTTCGTTTTACTTAAAACGTTTTGCATAATTTAACTGGTAGTGGCTAACAGTAACAGCAAGGATACGTGTTTCACCCTATTTATGACTTGCCAACTGGATGTATCTGCACCCAAGTGAGTGATAGTGTTCCCACTCAGATTCGAATCTATCGCTTCAAGAGCCAAAAGACTGTCCACTAAACTGCTGACGTATGAGAGCCAACTCCTGTGTGATCGGTATTAGTTATTATCATCATTTATTGGTGCTTGAAATTCCTTGTTGTTACACTGGATCAAATTGACCGACCTCTGTTGGGAGATGGGCTCCTAAGTGGATACCTCAGTATTGCCTGAATATTCATTATTATAATTTACAATAGGTGACTCTAGTGCATAACGCTTTGGCGTTTGAAGTAATGAGTGCACGGTTCGGTTCCACTGCTAGCCACCACTAAGTAGATTTGCAATAAATACTCAAGCAATATCAAGGGATCCGCATAGGAGTCCGTAGGTCAACAGAGGTTGGTCAATTCAATCCAGTATAACAACGGGGAATTGTGAGTATGAATGAGTGATTTTGTATAATTGGTGGGAACTACTACTGGTTACGTAATACGCAGAGGCATACTTTTCGCCTGAAATTATTAAGATCTTCAGCGCAAGACTGAGATGGGATTGTTAAGAAGTATGTGGAATGAAACAACTTACTGGCAGATAGGTTGTGTTTGATTGGGTCTTGTGTACTGCTGGAAGCATGAGGGTGGTTGACACTACCCGGCTGCGCACACCTTGGAAAACTATTTCTTCCTAAAGTACCTGAAAAACATCTGATCGCAGAGCCCATGAGACATCTGCTTGAGGCCAGTCACATTAAGCCTTTTGTGGTTGTTGTTTTGAGGTTTGGTTATTCACCTTTAACTTCCACTGGGAAGGAGGCATTAGGGTGGTACTGCTGGTCGTCTAAGGGAAACACCTTACCGCTGTCACATCTCATCCAGTTAGCAGCAGTATGACTTCGCTCTCAAACCCCCACGCCAGTCGTAACTGCTTTTCGTCTTACCACTATCCAACAGATCTTTTTAGTATAGAACCTCGAGGAGACAAGTGTTCTACCCAGTATAGCTCGTAAGGTCATTGTGATATATATGCCGGACCACCACATTAAGATAGCAGCTATCTGCCGGGTGACTGGTAGATTGATGAACTTGTAGAGTAATCAACAAACTATATACACCAAAAGAGTTTGAATACCGAGCCAATGATCTATAGTGTTTGGTTTCTAAAATACCAAGATATATTTCAAAGTTCACTTTGATTAACGTAAACAGGTACTCATCGGTTAACTTCACCATATATGTGCCAATCATTTTAGTGCACGAACCTGTATATGGTCAGTGAAATGAAACATGCATACGGCAGTGTGCTTAAAAAATATGGAACATAGTGTATGAAACAGTTTTCTACAACAAAGTGACCTTATATTCAATTAGTGACACTTCTTTCTTACAAAATACTAAACAAACGACATGAATTCAGTCACACTATTCAATGACAAAGATGAATAATGATCAGTCAGGCTGAAGTTTCAGTTAAAAACTACTACTCAGCATATAAAAAATAATAGTTCATTATACAATAAAAGTAGAAAAAAATGATCCAAAAAAATCATTAATATTCCACTTACGCTCTAACACTCATTGTATCGGAACAAAAAGCGAGATTTGTGAGTAGTTTTATTAACTCTGGATGTTTTGATAACCAAGACTGACCACAAGATGTTGAACAGGTGTGTGCTAAGGCCCACATATCTGCCTTAAGTTTTATCAATAGATTTGTGTCAAGGGCAGAGGTACCAGAAGCCTCTACACCGGTTTCATCCAGTGTGTTATGCTGAGTAGTATGTAATCGGGATTCAAATGAACGTATATTTGCCACAGCAATCTATACATAAATAAAAGCGATAACAGAGAAGCTTATCAACTGTTTAAAAATAATAGGGAATAGGATACCGAAATAAAAATTTCACGGTGAAGTGAACAGTAGGAAATGTCGCAAGATTTTGCGAATTGCTTGATCAAGCCTTAAGTCAATACTATTGTTGTGAGATCGACAAAACACTGCAGCTCCTGGATAAATAGAATTGAAATTAAAACGAGGATTGAAAATCAAAGCAAAATGAACAATCTTTCGGCAATAAGTTGATTATATATTGAATATTTCAAACAATTTTCCTGAATCCTTAAATAATTCTCTCATACCTACCGACATTCCAGTCAACGAAACTATTGAGATCATTTGTAGATAATAATAAAAATTTCTTTTTTGACTTTAGAAGACTTTAAGCAACTTCTAACCTTGTGCAGGAAAGATTTTCGATTCTGATTCAATAATGATTTCTATCGAAAGATTGATGGAGTTATCAAGGGAACCCATTTATTACAACTTTCGGTGATGTACTCCTTTCAAACTTGGAAGCAAACGCGATGAAACCAACCATCAATGATAGTATATTTCATACAGTGTATGTAAATGACAAATTTGTGATCTGTAAAGGTATGAATTATGCCACACAACCGCTTCAGATATTGTACAATGCAGATCACAGCATTAGTTTTACAATGGAATATGAGGATGAAGATCGTTTGAACTTTCTTGATTATCGATTACAACATGTGATGATGATGCTACAATAGGGAGGAACATCTACCGTAGATATACTTGGACCAGATAGTATCTTAACTAAAACAGCTTATGTAGAACAAATTACAAATGCGGACTTGTTCGAACAGTGCTGAACAGAAGTAGAAACTTTTGCTCAGGAGATAGAGTAGACGATAAGTTACCTCTCCTTGGGACGAGGTTTTCCGATAAGGGTCATCCAAAAAGTGTTATTCAGAAGTATTCAAAAGTATGTACCAAGAGAAAGAATGTCGCTACAGCCAACAAAAGCCAGAGTTTTTCTTATTGGCATGTAAAAGAGATGATGTTTCGGAAAGGATAAGTAGGAGGTCATAGATCTCTCTTCCCAGAAACTATCCGGCCAAAAAAACTGGTTTCTACAACAATAGCTCTAAATGGAGCTGCGAATTCAAAAGCAAGTATATCAGAAAGACAGAAAGATGGGTTAGTGTTCGTTTCTCTAAACATCCTCTCAAGAGCCTTTGGTTAAACGTTTCCGAACTAACCATATGTTAATTCGTATAATATTCAGTCGATTCAGCACACAACGTAGACGTATCTGCAGCCCTTAAAATAAAAATTCGAAGCTCAACTTCCTTGTTACTTCATTTCGTAGAAACAACAGTAATCAGTAGGAATCCTTTGCGCAATCATGGGTGCGCACAGCTGAGCAGTCCCATACTAGCAGAGAACAGCTGTCCAGTGCTCCCAGGTTTCCAATGTTTCTCCAACTGATGTCAGTCCATGATGAATACCAACCTGAAATCAGTAATCAAAAATTTGTAGTCTTACCTCCATGTTCCAAAAGAGGCGGTGAGCACTGGTCTAACATTCTCATACGCCTAGTTCCTTTAATGAAATCGAGTAATGCAGTCATTGACTGACTGACAAAATAAATGTAGAACCTCGCACATAGGTGCATCGGCTCAAGTTGCAACACTTCACAGCAGCATACAAAGAACAGGTGGACGGAATAAGATTGATATCAAAGTGAACACAGTTGTATGAGAGAATAAGCACTTTCAGTATGGATGTTAGTGCGAATATTCAAGCTTTAGATGTCGAGGAGTGAATATATCTGCGTCACTGTGGCCGGTTTCCAGCAAGGTCATCAACAGTCCTCAACCACTGATTCATTCCGTCTCGGAGACCCCAACCACGTTGTGTACATCTTCCCACACGGCTCAGATCAAAAGTAAGAGACTTCATACATCGGTTCAATGTCTTAGTATGACCACCTTAAACCCTCTTCAAACCTAATTCAGATTCTCTTAGCATGGTACCACGAGGTAGGCAGCGGGCTCCGCAAGCGTAGTACAGTGTCCCCTTAGGTCAGTGGTTAAAGAAATGGTAGTCCAATCGGAACACTATTTGTGGAATAAGGTGACGTCACTCATCGGCTGCATACAGCCTGAATAAGTAAATAATCACAGTAGTAATTATCAAGATACCTAACGTGGAGCACCTTAATATATACTAGTTAGTATTTTGAAGATCATAAACAAAAATGCAATTCAGAATACGAAGGAGGTTGAAATTATAAAAATTCAGTCACACTAGATCCATGCTATGTAAGGTAGGGTGAGGAGTGTTCATGGATGAGTGAGATAAGGCTTCAAATAGGTAGCAACCATTAAGTAATCACGGGCAAATATTTTCGTAACACAATGGTATTTGGGTGAGATAAATCCTCGTAATAATAAAGAAACGACAGTCAATACGAGGGGGGGGGATAAACATGAGATAAAAGTAGTATAACATTCATTTCTTTGGTCCTGTCTGGCTTTATTACGATAATTACCATTATTATAACAACTTTATAATTATTATTTCTTACTAGCGTTGTTAAAACTCTAAGATCTTTAAAATTACCAACATAGAAACAAACTTGGTCACTAACAACTGATTTTGTCTGTTGTATCCAACCTTTTCAATGAACATGGTAATTTTGTCCTGCCAAATATGAACTCAACTTATTACGCAAGTCCTGTTCTTCTTGTTTTTGATGATGATGATCAAGGCAATATGTTATATGATAAACGAACACCACAAATATTAGTGACTAAATACAGTTTATGCGCAGATAATACAAAATTTTATAATCAGTCAAGCATATTCGATTTGATAGCTTAAAGGTGAAATTTTCAAGGAAACAAGTAATGGTATGGCTATAGTGGTTAACTTCCAGGAGAATGAGGTTACAAATCATTAGCAAAAGAAGACCGAAATCCACTTAACCATCTAGCGCACATCCATGCAGTAGGCCACGAGTCAGACTTATTGTATGAGGGCTAGTGATACTACTCGGTTGCCCAAACCTCGGTAGGTGGAGCGGTGTTCTAGTCCATGACTCCTATACCAATGAGTTACACTTTCATACAAGGCATTATGAAGATCTTAGTAATAATCACAAGAATTATAATAATAATGAAGACAGTGCATACATATTTCCCACCAACGATATTTATTAACTGGTAAAGTGTTACAATTAAAAAACTAAACTTTTCGCTGATTCAGCTGATGAGGAATGTGTTCAGAACATCAAAGATGCGCTATTCTTTCTTTCCTTCCAATGTATTTTCTTCGGCGGCTACACGTAATTTGATATACACAGTTGGAGTTAACATAGGAAGGATACCCATTGACTTTTGACTGGACTAAAAAGCAAGCATTGAGGTGGTATTCATCACAGACTGATATCAGTTGGAAAACCATTGAAACCTGGGAAGTCTCCACTAACCTTGAAATACGTTACTGTATAGTGCTCCATAATAACATGCTCCTAGATGGAGATTCCGAAGTTCTAATGAGAAGCTGTGACCTATGGGGTCAACCAGTCGGAAGGGAAGCGGATGCCAACGGAAGACCTTGGGTGACAGTCGCACTAATTTCAATAAAACTATAAATTTCAATATTCTAGGTTGTAAGCAGTTGCCAAGATACCACGGAAATAAAATGGATCCGTTTTATCCCGTTTCCATTGTTGGTCTTGCTTTTTTCAAATCCATAGAGGGAAATTCGTGAATGAAATGACGAAAAGGCTGATTAAAAGCTAAATGGTAGTGCTTCAAAACATTTATAAGGCATAGAGGTACATGATCTCAGTGTTCCACTGAATACTACTAAATGAATCACTGATAATAAGTTGTACCTGTGAGAATCTCAACTGCGCAAGAAAAAAAGATAAATCGACTACAGTGTTCTAGAAATGATACGACAAAACAACTGTACGAAGTAGGAGTTCATCCACAAATCTTTTGCAGATTCGTGAAGTAGGTGATGAGCAGCCATCATCTTGTAAGGGTTAATGATACTGCTCAAACCTCAGTAGGCGGAACGGTATTCGAACTCGTGACCCATTGGTTGAAAGTCAAATGCTTAAACCAGTGAGTTACAACTCCACAATTCGATACCTTACATCCTTTGAAATCAATGAAAGTTGGAATCGTTCAATTCAATATGGAAGTTAATAGATGACTGAAGATTGCTTTCAGTAAAATGTCAACCCATAGTATTTACCTCTAGGTCCATTCTTTTATCCAAAAGATCAAGTCCATTATGATGTTCAGCTATGCATGCATACGGATGTTTGGGAAGCGGTAAACAATGAAAACTATCCTGACCATTACATATCTGAAATAATGATTTATCTGTTATTAATGGAGGAGGCAAATAAGTCCCTGGTACATCAGTTGCTTCAACAAAATAGTTGTCTTCAAAACTAAATTCTACATTGCTTGGTCGTCCAATGCTTTCAAGGTCTTCATCATCATCATCGTTTTCACTCTCATCATTGGTATTGGAATTGGAGTGAACTGCTTTTACTGAACCCAATAAATCAATGGATGGAAAGTTTCCTGACTGATAGGACAGATTAGGTAGCCTCGTTTCGTAGGTAACAAACATTGAAGTTAGACGCGTATCCATATCTTTTGCATATGCTAAATTATAATACTTAATAAATAAAAAAAGGAAAAACAGAATTATAAGAGCTAGGAAATATAAGTAAACCGCAGAAAGTTATGAAGTCAAAAGAACTTTTAATAAGTGTGTAAACGGTGGCTATCGTCAGTAAGTAGCGAATGACATGAGGCTAATTAAACAGATCAAACAAAAGCGAATAATTAAAATTTGATTTGACCATTAGAAACCCTAACTGTAATAAATGATATAAAAAAGGACAAGAAGGAAAACGAATCAATATCATGTGAACATCAGTGAAGAAACTTCTCAAACACTTGGAATTTCAATTTTTTCTGAAGTATTAGTGATTTTTGACCAAGTATACACTAAAAATAACAGTAGCAACAAAAGTAGAGACTTTACGCCACAGTCAAAAGCTGGAGAACTGCTATATCAAAATGAAACGAAGACATAGCATGGAAATCAATGGAAACATTTCGAACTAATTGAGGTCAGTTAGAGAAGTAAAGTCAGTTGCGTAATTTGGAACTGCTTCATTACTACGGAGTACCGCAAACCTTTATCAATCTCATTCAACAAATAACTATATGAAGACGCCATATGCCAAGTAATTCACAATGGGAAGTGCAGTGATGCTTTTGAAGTGAAGACAGGAGTAAAACAAGACTGTCACCTACTATCACCCATGATATTCCTGATTGTGGTCGACTGGACTGCGAAAAGAACCTAGAAGATCTGGATTTCGCCAACGATGACTTGTGTCTGATGTCACACAAACTTGAAGATCTACAGGCAACAACTAACAAGTTGACAGAAGAGGTGAGGCAGGGCAGCAAAGACGGGACTTCAAGTGAATATAGAGAAGACAGAAGTGATCAAGATAACCAACCAACAACTCCAACAACAACAACAAACTCCAATCACCATCAACGGGAGAAACTTAAACGAAGTAACCTCCTTCACCTATCTAGGAAACACTGTTTCAACTACAGGCGGCACAGGCACAGACGAGGATGTCGAAGTCAGAATCGGAAAAGCAAGACAAGCGTTCATTAGCCTGAAACCAGTGTGGAGATCTTCTGCACTCCACTCAGCATGTGGAACAAGATGCGGATTTCAAACACCAACATCAGTCAAGTCAGTGCTTCTGTATGGTTCAGAGACTTGGCGAGTTACGAAAGGGATTTCCAATAAACTACAGACATTCATTAACAACTGCTTACGCTGGCTCGCTACTGAAGATCAGATGGATTGCCAAAAAGAATAAGCAACAAGGAGCTCTGGAACGAACCAACCAAGAAGCTATCACCCAACAAATATGCAGGAGGAAGTGGAGATGGATTGGACCGGGCATACACTGAGAAGGCCGACTGGGGACTCACACGTCAGGCCCTTGAGTGGAATGCATGGGGGAAACGACGAGTAGGGCGTCCGAGGAGAGGGTGACATAGAGGAGATCGTGCGAGGAGGAAATGAGAGCTTCTGGGCTGTCGTGAAGCCAGGTTGAGAAGATTTCAGAGAACAGAGTTTACTGGAGACGTGCTACTGAAGCCCTATTTTCCATTAGGAACCCAAGGGACTAGTAATAATAATAATAATGAAGTCAGTTGCACAGAAAACACTACAGATGGCCCTGAAAATAATTATCTTGGTGACTAGCAGTGGAATCTAGAACGCGCGTTCCGTCCTAGTTGGAACTCGTCAGCTGGATATACTTACACACCTCAGTAAGTGATGTTGTTCCCACTGAAATTCGAATCCAGTAGCCTTCGTTTCAAACACCAAAGTGTTATCCACTAGGCCAATAGGGTACTACAGCCATCTCTTATGCAACCAGTATCAGTTGTTTTTGGTACTTGGTAATTTCTCGTTGCTATACAAGGTCGAATTGTCATTAGGCTCATTTTAGCAGCAATACTCCTAATTACTCAAACATTTTCCTAAGGGTCAAAATACAGGTCTAAAGGGATTATTTACCATATTCAATCACTTTAGCACATACAGAGATCTCTATTATTAACATGATCTTTACACAGTATACCGTTTCTGCTCATGATGACATATCATGTAGGTGTATGGAGCTATGTGTCAGATAAAATGATGTACAAAAAAGAATGAAGATATGAATTTAAAATATGGAAAGACCCAGCAGATGTCTGAATGAACACAGAAACAGTCTTGTTGCAGCATTCGAAAGGTTCTGATTTCAAGATAAAAACAAGCTACAGCACAATTATCGGTTGCTTCGATTCTGAGTCATGTTTGATGACGTTTTGTACAACTGACTTGCACAATCTCTCATATCGCATGTATAGACAGTTGATGCACAAACAGATGTTGGCCGAACACAATGAACTTTTATATCTGGATACCATATGATCACGCTACATAACGATAAGGCATAAGGGGCTTGAAGTGTCATAAGGCGTTCTTTTGCAACAGGGACTTATGCTTATAACTTCACTTGTTTAGCAAAGAAATAGACCAATCACAAAAACGAAGTTGCAACCAGTTCATGTAATGGGTGGAATGTTGGTTGAAGTGGACTCGCTCGTTTTCATAATGCTTTCCAAGTAGTATACAAAGAACAAATGGATAGAAAAAGGGACACACTCATGTATACTTTAAGCACTCACCTTTACAGCAATATCTAACATCCAGTTAATAGGATCATGAAGGATAGTATTCACATCATTCGCATCATCGTCATTACCACAGATATCGACAGAAGATGTGACACCATTTATGTTATTATCAGATTTATCACCACAAGATTTGTTTACAAAATCTTGAGCCGTACGTGAATGAGCACAATTGCTAGTATTATTTTTATTGTGTTCAAGTGTTTTACAACTACAACCACGAAATGAAGATGACTTATTCAAGCATAATTTGTCAAATACATTTGTCACAGAAAGCACTTTAGCAAATATTCTATGTCCTATTGGACCAGTATTCAAATGCAACAAATGAATTGCAAATGGTGTTAGAACGCTTTTCTTTTGATCGACGTTAGTATCATTAGTTTGGCCTTGCAGAATATTTTGCGATAAGGCTTGTACATTAACTGGATCCCAACACAACTCCTACAAGACAGTAAAGAGATAAATGAGAAATGACAAAAACAATAAATATAACTTCTTTAAAAGAATATATTAGTCAAGATGTTATGAGGAGCAAAGTAAATGCACATTCTAAAGATTGCTTTACAATTTAAAAGTGACACGTACACTCTCTCCTAGATACAGCAATCAATCATACACATCAAGGTGAATGGAGATACTGCAAAAAAAATGTGCATGAAGCTGAATACCAGTTGCGATCCGGTAAAAATATTCATGCTTAGACATCAGACTGTGGTATGAATTACGCTGAATGTGCTACGGCTAGTGGAATTGTTCATTTACCAAATCCACGATTTAATAAATCACCTGCTTTACCAACACCTGCTATCCAACCAGTGAATAAGAAGAACAAACGACAGAAGTTGGCGCTTACACCCGTGTTTAGATGGTGATTCAAAGCGTACATTTCTAACAGGACTGATGTACTATACTTATATTGATACTGGGTGATGGTTGAAGGTGAAATGAAAATTTGGCCCGAGGCAGTCGGGTAAAAACTCGGTTTGTAGAGAGCCCGGTCAGAAACTCGGTGGTTGCCGGTCAGAATCCGCCGCGGACTAAACTTTCATTCCACCTTCAATCACCACCCAGTATCAGTACTAGTCCACCAAACCACGGCTATCTCCCTCAGATAGTCAAAATGGTGAGTACGATACCTAATTTATCAGCTATCTTTCATAGTAGCGACATAAACAGAGCATGTTTGACAATTTCTTAAAAAACAAATACACTCAAGTGAAAGATATCTTGACCAACTCAGTGATACTTATTGGGAACACGTCTAACGCAACTCTATTATCTCAAGTTAGAAATTTACATAGTGGAAGGTGACTTGTTTTTGCCAAAGTTTTCAAAGTCAAAGAATTTTTAGGATAATCTGAACTCGTGCTCAGCAACCTTGTGGACATTCGTGCAGTAAGTAGGCAATGAGCCTCACCTATTGTGTGAGGGTTAGTGATACTAACTGACTTCCCAAACCGCGATAGGTGTAGTGGGGTTCGGACCCGTAACCCAGTGATTGATAAGCATCTTTTTAAACCACTGAGCAACAGTTCCTGATAATCTGAATCAATGTGTAGGAAGCGACTACATGATTCAGTAATGTTAACAATGAAAGTGCATAACTTTGGTGAACAGCTACGCTATTAAAAACACAAATGAAGATGACAAAGAAAAATGAGCAATTAGATTATTTAGTCTAACGTTGACCACAATAGAAATACAACTGAGGACAGATTTTACTTAACAAGTGATGAACTGAATACTTTCGAAGACAAGGAGTTATGCGCATGTAAACAGAACACAACAGAATGCAAGATGATATGTGAAACCAGTTTACAATAATTATTGTTATCGAATAGGCTTCATCAAAACAGGTCAAAATCTACATCTAATTTTTCAACAAGAGATGAACAATTCTACTGTAACAAAGATACTAACTCAACAATTATTATTCCAAATATTAGTGGTGAAAATTAGTAAATTAAAGGGGAGCTAAGATACCATAAGCAACTTAATCTATGCCAGTCCATGCATTTCAAACGCCACAGCTAGTGAATGGACGTCTTATGAGAAATTTCTATAAAAGATAGTGACATTAGTCAGGAAAGGATAAGGAGTACTACAGAATCAATGATCTCTGGTAGACACTCGTCGTATAAATGAATAATCTATAGTTAGTGAAGAAAAAGGGACTAGCTGATCCAATAAGAGCATCGAAAATAATGAATGTACCCATTTGAAAAATACATAATATTTACTATAAAGACTGAGGATCTAATATAATCCCTCTGTTTTCACATGACATGGTATGCAAAGTTCATAGTACAACTGTAAAATTCACTGCTTATACTATGAGGCTCATCCTGTCTGTGCAACTAGTGTTCGATGCAATATATGTATATATAAAACCCCGCGTGGTTAACTAATTCACTAGTCACTAGACGGTTCTAAGCCTGGGTAAAGAGGGAAGGTTGGGCATAGGGCTAGCAACTCTACCCCCTAAAACCAGTACAACCGCTACAGAAACTTCAAAGCACAGACAAAATACAAAAAATAAAAGCAAACTTATTCCTCGCTGGAATCGGAGATGCGAAATGACACCGGTTGGTGAAAGCCTTCAGGAAGCCAATTAGCCGATGTGTCTTCTCTCGATGGAAGCGAAAGTAAGAATGAGGACATGGAATGTCCGCACCTTGTATGAACCGAGCAAGGCTGCCCAGATTGCAAGAGATGAGAAGGTACGGCATAAAAGTGCTTGGAATCTGCGAAAGCAGGTGGAATGGAAGTGGACTCTCCAAACTGTCAACTGGAGAGGCGCGTCATGAAAAACATTTCGAACAAACTGCAGACATTCATCAACAGCTGTCGCCTACGCTCACTCGATACTGAAGAGGAGATGGTCAGAATAATAAGAGTAAGCAATAAGGAACTCTGGCTTGCTGGCAACAGACCAACCAAGAACCTATCGCTCAACAAATATACAGAAGAAAGTGGAGATGGATTGAGCATACACTGAGAAGACCATTTGGAAACTTCACGCTCCAGGCCGTCGAGTGGAACCAAAAGGGGAAACGACGAGTTGGGCGTCCCAGCTGAGGGTGACATAGAGGAGATCATGTGAGGAAGAAATGAAAGCTTGTGGGTAGTTGTGGCTCCAGGTTGAAAAGACTGCAGAGAACAGAGTGGAATTGAGACATGCTACTGAAGCCCTATGTTCCACTAGGAACCCAAGGGACAAATAATGTGTGTATATATGTAATCTCAATCATGATAAGGTGCGGTTAAATCAAGACACACAACTTACCTCTAATAAACACAATGCAAGTTGACGAACTTTACTCGAAGAATCCATGCACAACTTTACAACCAAATCAACACACCAACTGGCTAAAAACGGTAGTTTGAGGCGAAACAATAATCGAATCAAACGAATGGTATAAATTCGTAAGGCTAAAATACAGTGGAAAAAATGTTTTTGAGAAATATGATTCTTAAAGAAATCAAAATGTCATTTCAGAGTTAATTTAATTGAAATAAGTTGAAAACACCCCACTCAATATTGTCGAACACTAAAATTTATTTTCGTTCAATCTTAAAAGTCGTCATTTTAGCATAAGGCATCCTCGAGATGCTGAGAATTATCCATCACATAGTAGCATTGATGTGTACAACCCGGCGTTTTAGAAATTGTTGTTGTGAGGTCCAGTAAAACATTTTGTGGATGATCACTGTTGAGGAATCCTGTACTGGGACAAAACAGCTGTCCAGTGCTCCTGGGTTTCCAGTGGTTTTCCAACTGGTGTCAGTAGTTCAAGAATACCAACTTGAAATCAAAAATTCCTGCAAACTTCCCAGTTGAATTATTTTCCAGTGCTGAGTAGTGACTTGTTTCGAGATGAGAATTTTCGAAGTTCAATGAAAATTCGTGACTAGTGAGGCAAACCAAGTGAAATGTAAGAATAGGTACAGCAAACTTGGTGTATGATAGCAGTAGTGCCGCAAACTCCAGTCACTGAAGCCAGGTTTCATTGGAGAAATGAACGATAAAACGTTGTCTAATAGAATGGTTCAAAAGTATCTTAGAATAATGAAAAAGTTTGTACAAAACAACTTTTATATTCCAAGTGTTTACTGTCGTAAATATCTTTAAAGAGCGATGGCAATGAAGCGTATTTGAGTAATCAATCAACATAACTGATCACTGAAGTACATAGTTAGATAAATGATTGAAATGTGTCAAAAAAGGCCTAAAGAGAGTGAAATTTAAAAGCACTTGGTTCTGTGTGAGAGTAAGCGTAAGAAAGTGACTGCTTTCGAGTAATATGAACAACTTCACACTATCCATTGACTGTGGAAAATATTATAAACATATATCACCTAAGTTTTAATTCCAAAATAAACATTGGGTAACCCATACACTTATTGTCACTAAAAAATTTGGCCATTTGATGTGTGCATTTTTTACATGTTATAATTATGATATTTCGAAGTTGAGTATAAGACTTCTATGCAAAATACTAAATTTTTTGTGATCTCAGTGAAAAATATGATATAAACCATTTACAATGAAAATAGATTCATCTTTAACTGAACACCAATGAGGTTACGATTCTGATGAATAGTACACTGAAACAATTAAACTTCAAATATTGTACCCCAGAAAAGGTTAATTATTGGTCTTCACTTTATCAACAACGCAAACATTTTTCACTGAACAGTATACAAGGACAACAAATTGAATTCAAAGACAATGTTAGCAAAAACCGCCAGTGGTCCCCGTACTACATCAAATGAACTAAGAGTTCACAATTGTTAAAAGGTCAATAACTCTACTGTAGTCTATTCGGTGGCTAGTAGGGGGATCCAGGATGCGCGTTTCGTCCTAATTGGAACTCATCAGCTGTATGTGCCTGCACCCAACTCCAAAGCGTTATACACTAGCTCTTGTACCTCAGTGAAGTAATAGGTACTGGGTTCAAGTCTCAGTGGAAACGCCAGGGGTGCAGGTACATCCGGTTGATGAGTCCCGAGTGGGACGAAACGCGCATCCTGGATTACACTGTCAGCCACTAAGCAACTACAACACGATGAATATCTGGGCAGCATAATGGCCTCTGCACAGGACCCCATCTGCAACAGAGGTCGAGCAATTCGACCCAGTATACCAATAGGAAATTAGAAGTATCAATAAAAATCCATAACCTACCTGAATCAGAGAATGCTTTGTATAGTTTACCACAGGAATACTAAATGAATATTCGTTAAACTCTATTTTTATCTATTGATTAGATCTAGTGTCGTAGTCATATTTTTGTCGAACCTGGCTTAAACTGACAAGAAAACGACTATACTTCAACGTTAACCAACTTATATCCTACAATTCAACGTGCTCAAATCTCAAAAAACACTGTCCATCGACAATTCAGTTAGGAGCGAACGTTAAGTGCGTAGCATCAGGCTTATCCGGTATGTTAAACAGACTATCTTAGACATCCTTAGAAAGATGTTTCATTAAACTAGTTGATGGATAGCTAAAAAAAAAGTCATTAGAGAAAAACACCATTAAGGGTTGCTTAAGATATTTTAACAAATAATCTCATTTCACAAACACATGCAATCAAACACAAATGAGTGTGTAAATAGGTATTTTTAATACAGTTAAAACAAGTAAATTGAACTAACCTTTACACCACTGGTAGCTGAAGTTTTTAAGAATATGCGACTCAATCTACCAGGCCGTGTATAATCCAAACTGGATAAGATGACCTTAGCATGACTTAGAAAGCACTGTTGATTATCAATTTTCAGGGAATGATTTGACTTTTTCATCTGACTCGGAAACATTAGAATACTTTGGAAATCAGTGCATAAATCGCTTTTTCCAAACGTAATTCACCAACTTGTGAATTAGTCAGTCGAGATGCAGCTAACAAAATAAGGCTACCACAACTTTTGTGTAAATAGCTCGAATTGAATAGTAATATCAAATTTGCATTATTAACATCGTCAATCACATTACTATTGCCACTGTCGATGTTCTTACTGTTACCCGTTTGATTTGCAACGTTACTGTCATGAATACCTTTCCCATTCTTTAAATTATCATGACTGACGAGTGTTTCATTGGAAATTTTACTGAGAGCAAACTTTAAGCATAAATGGAGCACAGTCAGAAAACGATCCAAAAACTGTGACGGCTCACTAGTCTAAATGGTTTTAAAACGAAAAGTGGGAAGAAATTCAAATTAGTTTTGCTAAGAACACCATCACATACCCTTTAGGTATGAGGGAGATTATAGGAAATGATCAGACATATTCAAACCGTAACCATGAAACCATCAAATCATGATATCTTTACCGATATAAGCAAAGCTAAAATTCGGTAGTGATATCAACAACTATCATTAACCATGTAGCGTCAAATCGTACTTAACACACATCAATTTCTTTGAATATACACCTCTCCAACGTTTCACTTCAAAACATCATCGTTCATTTACGCCGTTCATGTTTAACAGATAAAAGAATAAGCATTATCATACTTTGTACCATCTTGCAAACCGAAATTCACGATTCATTTTATTTTTCTTAGCTTGCTAAAAAAAATATCACTGGATAATGTTTCGAACACACAGTACTTTCAGAAGTCAAGATAACTTCACACCTTCGAGAAGCAGATTTTGGAGTCGCAATCAATTCAATAAACTGAACAAATGGATGGTTATAATCAATCTGCAACTACACCGCATTAAATCCCATTTTAGTACTTTGTATTTCCTTTTATGCGTTCATGACGTACTGCAGCAATTTCATAGTCTCAAGAATTTCTCATTGAACATAATAAACTAAAAAAATGAAGATCATATCAAAACAGGAGGCTTCCCTAAAAGAATGATAAACAGTTCTATTCAACAACAATTGGAATGCTCATAGGAATTAGGTTAAACATTTCGTTTTTCTGGTCAGAAAGAAATAGTAACCAATACCGTTTTTTTTGCCAAATGAAACCGGAAATACTTATGTGTTGTGAAATGAATATATTTGAACAGTCTGTTTCCCGTGAAAAAATTACCCCCTGACGAAAACCTCTTAAAACTTCGCTGCACGCCGGTCACACACGGCTGTTTTGCAAGTTTGAGATTTAAGTTTATTACTTTTGACACGGACTATGTACATATATCGCCGGCACCGTATGCCACAGAGTAAAGGGAAGGGTGCTACTTTTAGGTATAGTAGGACCTTGAAAGAACAAGCATTCCAGTAGCATAGATCGTTGGGTCATTGTGATATGCAAGCTCGACCGGGATTTCAAGGCGATCACTATTGATCGAGGCAACCGCAGATAGATAATGAGGATATCAAGTCCATCTGCACTCGAAAGTCACATTCACGTTCTTGCAGTAGGCAAAACGCCACACCTATCATGTGAAGCCTAACGATACTACCTGTTTGCTCATACCTGGGTAGATGGAGCGGAGTTTTGAAGCCATTACCCACTTTCAAAGAGATCACAAGATAATTATCGGAAAGCCATAACGTAACTCATCCAATGGTGCTATCTCCAGTGTGCTGTGATAATAGTGTTAAAGAATGCAAGTGACTCTCAGAGAAAGGTATGAAAGGGTCAGAGGATCTCAGCAGTTTCTCCTGAACAAATGAATGCACATCGGAGCATTTCTGTAGGCTGTAAGCCCAGTGAGGAGCGGAAGCAAACTCCAGCGTGGATCGGCCAAGAGTTTACGCAATCACTAGGACAAATGTTGGCCAATGAAAGCTAAAGAGATAGGAAAAACATAGGTGATAGATCACAGCGGATAGTTATTTAGACTGGTCAAGAAAGCTGGGGCAAAATGCCAATGATTAGTGGGACCACAATGCAGAAGGATAAGTATATGATTCACTCGAAGGACAGGCCAGTGGGACGATGAGTAACAGTTCAACCGACCTCCAGACACTATTCAGTTGCCCTCTATCCATTCGGGTCCTGAAAGCACACTGAAAAGCTGGGAATGCCGTAAGTGATCTGAGATGAAGAAGGGTAGCAGGGTCGGATGGACTAGTACTGGAGGTATTTAAGAACTGTTAGCTAGTGTATAGGAATCCTATATGACACTACATTTATATAAATTCCCAGCTAACAACAAAAGCTCTTAAATGCAGCTTTCTTAAAGGATTAATCACCATTATAATAAGAATTTGTATCATCTCTGGAAATGTGGACAAACAAAGAGGTAAAAAACAAAAATTTCGTCATTTATGTGTGTGCTGAAAATCACAACAACACCGACCGAGTTTCATATCTCTCAGTAGTGTATGAATTAAAAACCTTCTGCCTTAAAAATAGTGCATGTCACTCTGTTCTGTCACCAGGTAGCAAAAGAATGATCAAAACTTTCAACCTCTGTCAGCATTCGATGAAGTGAGTGGCATAATTGCTGAACACAGTCGTTAGTTACCATGTGCTTTTCAGAAACTGTGTTCAATCCCAATAGGGTATCAGTCAACTTTTCTTTGGAAATCGAATCGAAGTTCACTCAGCAACCTTGAAACACTCGTGCAGTAGGTAATACGATTATGTGAGAGCTAATGATACTACATGGCTACCCAAACCACGGTAGGTTGAGTTGAATTCAAACCTGGGATCCATTAGTTGGAAGTCATCTGCCTAACCCAATGAGTCACAGCTCTACAACTTTTCTTTCAACTCATGTATGTGATGCATACACCAAAAAAAAAAATTCATGAAGCATGGAAAAGGAAGCTGGAAATAGTAAATACACTGAAAAATATATCATAAACAAATATATAAACCAACTGGAGAATAATATGCTAAATGTGATATTAATCCAGCGATTAAAATCCCAGCAGCTGATGCATGCGGCCAATTATGTGAAAGCCAGGCTAAATTGAAATTTGCATTTGAGTTGATCAGGTAATTTATTCGACTGGCATTATAATTGTATGACTTATTCTCTTGACTGTATAGAAATGAATCAACATCTTTCAAATTTTTTGGGTCTAAATTTTGTAGTACAACGTTACGGTTACTATTTATCACATTCAATAGTCCATCAACTGATATCAGTCCATCAGGGAGAATAGGTTTATTGGGGATTGAAGATGAACGTCCTGTTGAAGATATTGGCGTGTATTTATCGGCAGGATCAATCGGATCTGTTCTACACATCTGATCCGGTGTAAAAAACTCCATTAGAGATCTTAAAAATCTGAAACCCAAAAAATAACAAAAATTATTGAATATTATACAATGCAATCTAGTGGAAACGGTCTAGGTATTCAACTGACTATAAACCAATAAGTAATGTATGTCATCTCATTCCACCTATTTCACCAGAACCAACAGATTAGTGACATAAGCTCCAACATATTAGATACGGTTGATGACCTAATACAAAAATATGAATACGGTTATTAAGTTATACGATAGTATTTTTTTTCTTGCGAAAAGGACAGTATGAAATAATTGAGAAACTACGTGATACACAACCTAAACTGAAGGTAGCCAAACCAGCGTTAGTAAAAAGTCACCAGTTCTGTAAATAAATGTAAGCGGTTTCTGAATAACCTGTGTTGATCCTCATATTTAGAGAGCAAATACCATAGTTTTGTCTTCATCGTAATATTTCTCGATTTCCTAAGACTCATGTTATCAATCCCGATTAATTCTCTTTGTATATCCTGTCGCACTTCATGATAAACCCAGAATTCTCTATACTTGACCTGATTTCTGTGTAGATATATGATTTCACTTATGATTTATATCTTCTCGACGAAAATCGAAATTGAAACTCCCTCAGAATCTATTGTGCACATTTTTGCAGTAGGCAATGAGCCACACGTACTGCTTGACGGTTAATGATACAATCTGATTGCCCAAACCCCGGTAAACAGAGTGTTGTTTGAACCCGCGGTCCACTAACTGAAAGTCGACTCCCTACACCGAGTCACAACTTCACATAATGCGCTGTGTATATTAAAACTTTTAATCATTACGACTGAAGTCCAATCTTAACTTTAAGTTTTGGAAAAGGCTATCTCCTAGAATTTATACGATTATATGATGAATTTCTTGCTAAACACAATCATAATGAATTAACCAATTTCATATACGGTTATTGCTTAACTAGACAAAATAAAATTATGAAATAAACCTGATCAATTCATGCGAATACATACTTCATACGTAATTTTGATTCCCAAGAAAAAGTAACCCGTGTTACAGATAGATAGCGACCCAGAGCAGTAAGAACATCCCAATTCCAAACATCTGGTGGCTTAGTATTACAAGTAGTCAACTGACACTGACTGAACCGACCGTGTTGAGACTTGGATTTGAATGACAGTACGTTTGATAAAGCTATTAACTGGTCCAGAGTAGCATCCGTAAGCTAAAAAATATAAAGAATAAGGTGATGTAGAGAAGGATGACGAGGAAAATTCCTTTCATGGAGTTATTCTAATGAGAATAAAGGATTATAAGTGTATCAGAGGGGGGCATTTTACATAATAATAGGCATCAGTCCAGTTCCCGTCTCGTACATACCTGACTCCCTTATTTTACTAAGGTGATAATAAGATCTCAAGTTCGTATTGATTCAGTGACTAAAGAAATGAATTTTAGGCAATTTTATCTTGTTAGATAGTTTTAAAAAGTTTGGAGGTAGATTTGAATGTCTGTAAGAGAAGAAAAGCATAAATTTTACTCTTATAAACAAGATTTTATAATATGCATCATAGCAAGTCTGTGACATGCCTACGACAAATATATCACTGTCGAATTTCCCGATTGAATTGACTGAAACCAAAGTAGACAATGTAATCATATCAGAAAACGAGAAAGGTCCTATGAATGCGCAGTGGGAATTTAATTTTCGTTACCTGAATGTGTCGACAACCGACTTATGCTGATGCTAATCCAAGCTCGCGCATATATGATGCAACTGTCAATGATAGTCACCGAGATCTGCGATTACGACGAGAAGGTGAACCCCAATGAGTTAACTAAGCACTACGACAGTGATAAGCCATAGCCGAAATATACTCGAGGTTAATAGCACTGGCAGGAGAAGGCATTGATCATTCAGTTCTCTTTTGAAAAAGATTTTATTGTATAATGAACTTTTACAAGTTATATAGTCTTTGTGATTACAGATTTCGAGGTCATATTGCTTATTCTGATGTTCAGATACTTGATTAACACACTATTTCGCTATCCCTTAGCAAACAAGATCGTGAACTTCGGTTTGTATGGATTAAAGAGCTTCAACCTTGTTAGATAACTCCATTCTCAATCTCAAACATAGCACCGACAGACAAGAACAATTGGATAGAAAAAAACTGATATCAAATTAAAGAAAGATGCATAAGAGGAAGAGGAATCTAAAAATCAAAGTTATTCAAAACACAAGCTCTAGAAGATGTCAAATCGAGAATACATCTGCACGATATGACCAATTTTCAGTCGTGTCACAAAACCTTCTTAACCACTGGTTCCTAACGTCTCGGTGACTTCTACCAGGTAGTTTGCACTCCTCTGCATGGCTCAGACAAACAGTCAGAGACTTCATGCATTGATGTTACATCATGATCTGAACACACTGAAACCTCTTTCAACCTATTCCAACTTCTGCTTGCGTTGCACGTCAAGGTAGCCCGCGGCTCGCCATATGTAACAATATCCAAGTTGACGAAGGTTTACAATCTCATCGAAAAACTTGACCACCTTGCTTAGTACCCTTCACCTAACCTCGACACTGTTTACATCGTGATTCCAACATACGAGAGCAACGCAGCGAAAATATATGTGTTCGAAAACTTATCTCTTAACACCCACCTTCAATGGTCATATTTTACAGCCGCTTAGTATGACAGAGAAAACTTATGAGCAGTATGCTTGTTCATTAACAGGGAGTCGGATATCACACAAGTTCGTACCAGCAATGATGCAAGTTACCAAGTGTGAAAAATACCTAGTATATTCAAGCTGAGGCTTCGTCAACTGATGCATCTCGCCAAGTCAAGTGGTCAACGCATTCCACTTCACTCTCTATCATTAAACTACAAGTGGTTGCAGACCAGTCTTAAAGCAGCTGCAAAACGCATACCAAAAATATACACGTTTCTATTGAACGTGTTCAAGAAACCCGCATTTTGCCAGCTTTTTCACCTTACAGAAAAATGTCATCTGTGTGTTCTCAGTCGGTCATACGCCCCTCCAGAGAGTAGATCGACCACCGTGAAGTCAGAAGTACCCAGGGTTATGTTCATTAATATATTTATAACGAACTTCAACAGGAACGGTGACATCTTGATCGACACCACTATTTGTCGTCATTTTAGACGGCAACTCTCTACAAGCCCTTACAAGTCTAAGTGAGTTTGGGTAGACAACTGCGATTGGCGCTACATACTTGTCCTGTATTACATGCGATATGGTTTATTAATAGATTGTATTGATGCAGATCCATACATACATCAATCGAAAACCCACACTCCGTTACTTATCTCGCCAAATGTTTTTATTTTAATATTTCGGTTTCGCACTTTTCTTCTCGTCACTTACCTTGATGTGAAGGTGACAGCAACTTGAAAAACTGCAAAGCGATTCAATAAAGCCAAAAAGAATATATTTACAGAATAAAATGACGTCAACTCATTTCATGGATATTCATTAGCAACATATAAACCAAAACTGCATGTCTTACTCAAGATAGATGATAATTTATACAATGATCTGATCGATATTTATGGATGTATAGAGATGTTGTTGAACAGAGGGAAGGAAGTTGCTAAACATTTGAGTAAGCAAAGCTTCTACGGGTACAATAGCCAGACACCTACCTGGTGGGAGCTGGACACTGAACAGGTGTTTCCAAAGCCTTCATGATGACAAATAAATAATCACTGTCAAGTCTACTATACTTTGCTCGAGGCCTCTTCTATACAAATAGATTAGTCTCTCTTGACCCTGGTAATTGGTTGTTAAAATTACATTAAGTCTTCCTTTCTATCTAGTGACTTTAATCACATTTATTAATTTTGATGCTTTCTGATTATTTGTGGGCTTATATATTTTCTTAATTGGTTAGTAACTTTCCTCCTACCCTGAGTCTTCCTTGTTTGTTTGGCAGTATTCCTATAGATCAACAAATGTTGGTCTAATCATGTGAAAATTAACATTTATCTTGACTAATATGTATAATCTAGATTGTGTGCAGCTGATAAATATCCACGAAATCAAATGACATCATTTTATTCTGAGAATATGTTCACTGTTGCTTTGTTCAAATCTGTTAGGAGATAATGCTGAATTCAATCTCTGGCTGTAAAATTGAAGAAAATTGTATTTCTTCCGTCGCAAAGAGCACCAAAACCGAAGTTCATAACTTTCTATTGATTTTTCACTTGAAGCCTAACATCGAATTATGATTATTTTCTCAATTTACGAAGTGAAACACACACTGACCGGTTTTATAAGATTTCAAGTAATCCCATGGGAGTGCAAGGACAAATATCTAGTAAATTGTATCTGTTTAATACACTCCATTTAGAAAGCTAAGAGTGACTACAATCATACTTACTAAACATGAACACATATCATTAGTTGATGCTTGCAAAAAATGAAATCCCATCTCAGGTCTATGCATAAGGCGTGTCACTTTTTAAAGTTAAGATTTGAAATTGTTGAATGTGACAGAGACAAAAGATTCCACATCTAGTCAGATTATATATCCATTGGAAAAAAGAGCACAACTACTAATTATAAACAGGGAAAGGTTGTAACGAATTTAGGAAACTGGGTTTTTAATTTTCTATCGTACTGTATCAATAAGAAGGGAATCACTATTGAAAAAAAAAACTGAATTGGCAGATTAGAAACAAATAAGGAAGAGAATTTAGATAGCTACCCGGTGGTCGAATCCGGCCGCGGTTCAGATTTTCATCTCACCTTCAATCATCATCCAGTACAAGAAATTTTTGGCATAGCTGGCTTAGAACAAATTTTGATGCAAATGCCTGTCGACAGCTGCCTAGTCGATTATGTGGAAGAAAGCGGAGCTTGATATCTTAGTGCATTACTCTAAGTTGGGAACAAAATTGAAAAAACAACTAACCAAACACTATTCCACCACCCACTACAGCTAAACTATCTTTAGTCGCAGGCTACTCCAGAAGTAACAGTTTATGTTTGACAGATACACAATAAAAACCAAACGTGTTGCTAGGTTCTCACTCAGCACATCAATAAAAAAAAATGGATATTCAGACTCACTTCTATTTGATCTGTCACCACTGGATGCTGAGTTGAAGAGGAAAAATCAACTGACTGTTTGGCTAAGCATTCAAGGAATGGAGAATGCAACGGTACACGAATCAGACTCGATGGATCACGAAGATGAGTTTCGTGCAATTTCATAACACGATGTATGCGCTCCAACCAGAGTACAGCTAATTGACTGCCTGAAGTTTCTGGACATAGCAAGCCAGCTTGATGTAAGCGCTTACAAATTGGGTGTTCTTGAGATAACAAACTTCCAACCTATTGGATAAATATAAAGACTATGAACCAACATAGTCTTAAAACTTCAAGTGAACAGATCTATTATTTTTAATAATTATGAAAAAACTTCCTTCGAAATCAGTCATAGGTCACTAAAAATAAGACTAATCAGTTAGTGTCCGGTATTATCCTCAGATTATTCAGTGATATCTCCAAATAAGTGACCAAATGCTACAGATTTTTATCGGTTGATTTACCACGGACTTGTCTAAAAACCAGTCAGTCTAGCTAGTATATAGTAACTTCCCAACCTTAGATATCCGTAAGTATTCTAATGAGTATTGAAAGTTGGTGAAAAAAACACAACAGCTATTTCAGTGTTAACAAATCAATTGTAAAATTGAAGAATATTCGCATACCATATAATGAAATAGACAGCTCAAACTGAAATGAGTACTTTCAGTTTTTCTTATTTGTAACCTATACCTAGCAACAGTGCAAATCGAAATTTCATTGTAATTCAACTCTCTTCTTAATTCATTCAGCTTGCCAGTTTGTAAAAGGTAAGTTCTCGGAAAACCTGATTGTGATACATTAACAACACGTGATACTGATCAGTGATTGAGTTAGTCTGTATAAATTCTAATTAAACACCAATTCATAAAATAATAAATCAACTAATTGAACACAGATGTGCTAAAATACATCCAGCAATCTCACTTTGCAATTGGATCCTAATCATACTGTAACAATCGGAGGTAATCATGATTTGGCTATGTTAGATAGTTTGGCAGACTAGTATTTATACTGGATGATGATAGAAGGTTCAGATTTTCATCTCACCTTCTATCACCACCTAGTACAAATCGGAGGTAAGTAGAATACACTCTCTAGTATACCGACGCACTGAAAGTCTACATCATGAAGGTTTGATTTATTTTCTTCATATGGTATGATTTTGAGCAATATCTATGGGTGTTGAACACGGGGTTCATGAGTGAGGAAGTTCTACCTATATAAATTTGGAAACCTTATATCCAAACTAATAGAGAACGAAGGCTACAAAACAACAAGGTATTGTATCCAGCAAAATAATTAACATGCTTCAAATACCATTTTGAAAGGACTTATCTTTTCAGCAAAAAGTCATGGCAGACATTCCGTGTTTAAGATTTACTTAACATTTGGAAAAAATCCTTCCAAACTGCGCATAAGTTGAAGGTCCCAATAGTTTGCTTGAAAATAATTTTAGGGTGATGAGTGAACCATTGAATGAACTGTGTCAACGAGATTCGAAACTTTTAAACACTACCTGTAAAGGTTATTTATATCGTATAGAGTGTGATGAGAAAATGCACAATAGATGGTCTACAGTAGCCTATTATGCCTTAATGGTACTTTGGATATTTTGGTGGGTAGAATATGAAATAGTATTTTTATGAAAATCTCTCATCTATGTACTAAGAGTCAATTCTGATTTGAAAATATATTGCACTATGAAGTAAAAAGAACATTAAACATACCTTGTGAGCCAATGAACCAAGAAGATAACCAGCACGAGTAGATGTTACTTGATTTGAATCAGAAATCGCTCGGACAAGAGCCTAGAATGCGGGTTAATTTTGAACAAAGAAAAATGCGTTAACAAGTATTCTATGCGCGTATTTTGCATAAATTCACGAAAACAAACATCATGTTTGCTGATTTTGAAAGTAAACAGGTGGCAATCACAAGGCGAACATCACCATTACTCTAACCGGTATTGTTGCAAAGAAATACAGGACAAACAGAACACTATGGTGAAATCCATAGTCGGCAGAGCAACTTACAGTAGTATTCATCATGAAATGACATCAGTTGATGAAATATTTAGCATTCGGAAGCACTTGATGGCTATTTTATCTCATTTTGAATTTCCTCAGATGTGTGGATCCATAACCCTGGATCATAAAGTTTCGGGTTGAGCATATAGTCTTTCAGCCATTGACAACCGGTGGCGCTAAACTCGTTAACTCGTAGGGTTGCAGCATACCCCGTTGAGGAGCCCTATACTAGGGCTAAACAACTGTCCAGTTTGTAATAAAAACTACTTTGAAATCAATTAATCCCTTATATATTACCAAGAGAATTGATGTAAATCTTTTGTCATCTATTGAAAAGTGATTGATACTAAGACATGTGTACAGACGGCTATATATCTAGTATTTTCAACTAGACTAAAGGTTAGAAAGGTGAAGATAATTTTTCTAAGATATAATAAGTGACATGCTCAACATTCTCAAGAAAAAAACAAAATAATAAAATGTCGAGGAAGCAGCAGCAGAAGCAGCTTTACATCAAAAGTGGATTTAAAAACTTTAGTGAATAGTGATACCTTTCTAATTTCATGCAACATTTATGACTAGTTTCTACACGCATGTTACACCTTCAAACAAGCAAAAAAAAGAACAGTACAGATAATAAATAAAACCGTGAAATGTTATTCTTATCACATGGTAAACGTTTGTTGTTGTATGTTTTTTTATAGCAGCATTCCAAGTAAAAGCGAAACAACATTAAAATACACAACTGCTGGCACAGTCAATAAAAAAGAAGAAAGTGAATGCATATAAAAGACAGAGTAACTACACATCAACTATGAGAAATAGTAAGTAGTTTGGAAGCTATAACAAAAACAACTACCGGGGATTATAGAAAACAACTGATGAGGACAACACTGTTTTTATTCACATACGAAACTGTATATGAAGCAAATTACAATTTCGGAACAAAAAGTATACACCTGCGCTAGCAATCACAATCTTAAATCCTATCTTCTTTCTCTCTTTTCCTGCCTACTTCACGATAAAAGTTTGAAAGTTCCACTAGTCACAAAGAAACAGATGACCACCATCAAATGAGCGACTAACAATGTCCCTGAGCTCCGATGACGATTTGGCTGTAACTAACTTTTGGGAAATTTCAGTATGCTTTTCAATAGAATAACTAGTATGAAAGGGAAATTCTGTTTGCTTTGAAAGAAGATTAGTAACTCTGCCATAAGCGTATGTATTGCAGTCGGTCAAAGTGTCAATAAGAAATCATGACCAAACGAATTCAAACAGACGCATGAGCGGATAACCTTGTGCAGTGGTACATGATTACAAGTTTTCACAATTACCATCAACAAATCATACAGAGACAAAATTACCAAATACAACTAGTAAGATTAGCTATCGTGAAAAGTCATCAGACAAATGCTTATTGTGAAATTCGAGAAGGATACTTATACCGGATACTTTGGACTGTTCACATTCATTGTGATGTAAAATCCCCAGTGTTTTTTTTATAGTATTCGGAACCACATTTTCACCCCCAACTCATTATTATTTAGATGGAAAAAACTCAAAACTGGTAGTTACAACAAAGATGTGTTTTCTCCCTGATGGATCACATTACCTGTGACTTTAACGTGAGCTTACGATTAGGTGGTCAAGGTAAATGTGTATCAACATCCTTTTCTGAGGAGTTTTAAGAACAATGTGCGCAATTGGCTAAGAACCACGGTTTTTCAATACCCTTGGACAGAAGGACCAACAATTCAGAAATGCGTCTATTCGAAGTACCACAACTTTCTTGAGGACGAAAAATTAATAATAATAAAATAGGCAGAAGTGTGAAGAAAGGATGAATAAACGTGCACTTAAGAACTTCAAGGATTGGAATAACATTTTGGCCTAACCCCAACAAACATATCTTTGAGTTCGAGACAAAGAGCAATTACTACTACACTTTCTCCCGTTAAGTATCGCATTATAATTATTTCAGTAATTTAAACGATATAAACAAAGTGTATGTAAACCAGCCCGATCCAAACACAATTATTTATCTCTAGAACTACTAAAATCAAGTGTTGATCTGTAAGCACTGACATTCGAATGCAGAAAACTGTCGGAAATTCTCAACTTTAGGAATGAGAATCGGGTAGGTGAGAAGCATAATTGGAACTCTATAGGTATGATATATATAAACTCGAAGGTATGCCAATCTCAATGCTCACATACTGAACCATGTTTCTACTGACAATGAAACTGAAAAGAATAGTAAAGATGGTCACACTGTAGAGGATAGGAGTACACTGAGTCCAGATTGTACATTCAACTAGTAATTGTAAGTGCAGACCAGTTCAATAGGTGGTTTAAGACGCTATTTTATATACCCGGATCAAAATTAAATAATGAGACTCAAAGAATATAATCTAGAGAAAGAAAATAAGAGAAAAGCACACCAAACATGGTAAACACAGCAAAAGGTTTATGACTTTGACCCAACCTTCACTAATAACAGTCCAGAGTACAATTAGCAGTACAAAACCTTTGAGCTAACCACTTGGTGTGCAAAAAAAAGCGTCATTAAACTCTTAAATCTACATTAAGGCAAATAGTCACACTACTCAGATATCGAGTAGGGGTAGAGGTGCCAATGTCAATAACGTGATAACAATTCATATTACATGAACTTTGTTCCTAATGTACTAAGTCACAACAAATATAGACAGCTAGATAGGTGTGTATTTCACTTGTGCAGTAGAAATGATAATAATTTACTATCCATCCAAATTATGACAAGCCAGAGGAAAAGATGCACAAGACAGTAATAGAAGTCACACTACTGGGACAAAAAGGATGTAAGAGAGTGTAGCAACTTCATTCATGTAGCTATATTTGTGCCTTCAGTTGACACCCTAACAACTACTTAGATAGCCGATTGGGGTTCTATATTTCACCAAAAAAAATAACCTTTCCAGCTAAAATAAAGAAACTTAATTGATTAGTTCAATCACTGCTAGGGTGGCGTTTAAAGCCACATCACGACAGCTGCAGAAAATCACCTCTTATTTAGAGGAAGGGCCTTCACATTGAATGGTGAGCTTTCTGAAGTCTAATACACAGGTGTTAGAATCTACAATTTTTCAGTTTGACTGTTTGAAACAAGTGTGGTTTGGCCCAACTGCGGACATCTCAGATAGTCAAATTGATAATCGATATGATGCTCCCCCTCTCTAATACTAACAGATTTGGTTTGAGGTGAGAAGTCCTGACTGTGCATCCAGTATGAATACGATCAAGCGATAGTAAAGCTAACAGGTTCACATAGCAGTCGGGCTTAACTCTAGGTGATTGAAGTGGAATTAAAATTTAGTCGGCAGTAAAATCACGTAGCTCAGTTGGTAGAGCACAGGGTAGGTAACCCGTAGGTCGCTGGTCCGAACCTATCCGTTGCCAAGATTTTTATTTCCCCTCCAAGCATCTCTTACCAACGATTTTTCAATGAGTTCTTTTAACCCAATAATTTTCACTGTACCACAAAGATTTCAATTTGATGGTAAAATACATTTTCAATAGTGGAACTTCGTATTAATAGTGAAAACGAGTCCACTGCATAACAGTAAGATATATGGAGCATACGTCGATTTCCAGGTGATCATTGATGATGCCTTTCAATAGATGATTTGTTGAGTATTGATGATGATGATGATGATCAAAGAACGACTCAAGACCAAGGTAGCATATACGGACAAAAACCGTGTATATATATATAGGGAGAGAGAAAGGGAAGGAGAGAGGTTGATTTGTATGGCAGAACTGTAAAATATAGGCAGTAAGACTTGAAAATATCGTAGAAGTTCCACACCACTGACAAAAACAGGAAACCAAATCAATAATGCACAAGAGCGATTAGAAATACCTCTCACAAAGTATTGATGAAAAGCTTTACTAGTATTACTCAAGTTTTTTCGACTCTTTGGTTTAGCAGTTGAACAAATTTATATTTAAAAGAACAAGTGAATAAGATGGACAACTTACTATTTATCTGCATACCATTCAAGTGAGTATGCTGCAGACAAACTCCTCTTCTGGTGGATATTACGGTGATTACCGAATAAAATGCAAGGTAACTGCTAAAATCGTTGAAAAACGTTTGCAGACCTACTTGTTTCCTGGAATTTGATGTCCTACTCCTCGGATCAAAACAAATGAAAAGCACTCAGCAACCAAATGCAGGTTTGCGCAGTGACCAATGAACCATAACTATCATGTAAGGGCTAATGATACTACCTGGCTGCCTACGTTAAGGGGGGTTCCAACTCAATTCTCATCGGTTGAAAATCGAGTCCCTAGACAAATGAGCCACACTTCAACATCCCTACTCTTCAGTTGTCTAGAAACCAATTACAACAGAGACCAAAATAATTTATGCACATATAATTATGTCGTGCAGAAACGACTACGCTTAGGAGTGACCACATAATTTTACACTGACATAAGACAAATGTTAGTGTACTGAACAAGAAGGAATTTAATTTGTGAAGTAAAGGCTACTTAGATCCTTATTCAGAAGGAAGGAAAAATGGATACTAATCAAGATTAGTAGAAATACGGACTGATCAATTAAGCCCACTTACTGGTAGCCGGACAATGTAATGCACCTTCCCCCTACACATACACAAAGTGAAGTGTGCTACTTAGTAAATGAAACTGTACTTGTTTTTGACTTACATCATTGAGTTATTAATCAAAATGTTTTATTTGTATAATGCGAGTACGTCAAGAATTATAATACAATCCATAGTAAATGCATACTTCATATAATCCGGCTTGAATCAGTGTAGCCAGTAAAAGAGCATTATAATTGTTCATCAAATCGAATCCAACTAGGGCATATTTAGTAAACAGACGACAGCCTTCAGCAGGAATGAAGCCGCCTTCAATATCCCATGCACTTGATGATACCGATGAACGTCTAACAGGCAAGATGGAGAAAGACGTCGTGGAGATTGTATTACTGATAAAGATGACATATCAGCGGTCAAATTATTCGTTTTTCCTCCGGAATTCGTTATATTCAGTACAGGTAGCAAAGAAGGTGCACCAGTAGACAATGCCTCAATAAGACCGAGTACAGTCGGTTCCAAATCTTTTACAGACGGATGTGGTATAGGTATTGTTGGAAATAAGCCATACAGTAAATCCAATATTTGATTCTGTTGAACACATAAGGAGGAAATAAAGGAGAGAAAAAAGTGATTCAGAATGAATCCATGAAATCTTGGATTAGAAAGCACACAGTAAATCATTTACTTCAGCCCATGAATCTGGAACAGATATGGTTAACATACTTATATGTGCATAAGCCTGTGCGTGACCAGTGATGCATATTTCCAGCTTTATCCAGTTGAATGAAATAATAATAATAACAACAATATCCGACAGACTATCCACATTTAATGCATTGTTATATGCTTAGTAATGTAACACCTGCTGAAGAGTTAGCGTGACAACCGAAACCGACGACTGGCAACTGTAGGCGTATGGCCTGAGAATCGATTGAGGTGATGTAAATTGATTCATACATTATCTTCATTCTAATCCGTGCATGATCTTTCATCTTGGTTTGCTGCTAACGTGAGTGAGGTATGGTGATTTGAACCATTATGTAGTAATGCCAGATCCTATGTTAACAATGACTGACTAGCTGAGTAAAATATGTATAATATGTGGTGTGGATGGAATAAATTATTTGTAAGGCATTATCAGTCTACTCACAGTTAACAAGATATTCCAATAAAATTCTTTTTCTAAGTATAAATATGGAGAAGAAGAAGAAAAAGAAACATTAACCCATAGATACTTAGTTAAACATGATTTTGGTGGCCCATAAAAATATTATATTTGCCTACAGGAAACGAATTACTGTAGATTAAATAACTCGTGTAAATTAATTTATACTTGCAACTTCGCGTAGATTATTTTACTGGAACGAATTGATCGGTCTGTTTTTATATGAACTCATTGAACAGATACCTCTAAACAGTGTGAAGCTTCATTTGATGCTAACTGCTCAGTGGTGGTGGTTAACGGTGGAATAGAAGAAGCACATTTCGACATGTTTAGGATTCGTCAGCCGGACGTACCTGCACAGAAACGATTAACTTAGTTCAGTAAAATAAACAGTAAAAACTAAAAATAAATGCATGTTGATCCCAGTTTCAAAAAAGGTGGATATGATCAGTGACTCATCTAGCAGATAACACCCTCACATTTAAAGCGGTAGATACTGGGTCTGAGTAGTCGTGGAGACGTCAACACATACTAAAGTGCAGGGATATGCAGGCGACCAGTTTCTAAAAGGATGAATTTTGCTTAGTGGATTCCATTGCTAGTCGCTAGCGCTTGACACCTCTCGCTCTATAACGATGAGGATGCATAAAACTTCGTTGCCGAATAACAATTTGCAAGGCCTATGATACACAAACTATTTAAATACTTAGTGAGAGAGAAAAAATTATGCACTTCCACTAAGGCTGCACTCCAAGAACAGGTTATCACCAATGTTACTAAACTACTAATTTACTGTAATCGGCTGTAATTGCTGAAATGTGGTTAAGTAGGGCTGAAATCAAAATCATGACTCGTCTGGGTGGAACTCAACTATGAAAACGAAAGAAAAGTAAATCTGCTTTACTTCAAGCTATTTCTTGCCCACAATATCCCTAATAGATATATTATTGAAAAGTATAATCCCCGGAAAATTAATAATATATAAAAGTGGAGCAAAAAGAAAGCATTTAACTCACTCTTGTTTCTGTACTACCAACGGCCAAAGTATACAAAAGCGTCTGCAAACTTGACAGACCATCATGGATAAAGTGGAAAATGCCTATTACAAGGAAGAAAAATGGAAATAAAGAATTTGAGGTGGTGAAAGGTGGATAGGTTTACTGCTGGTGGGAATCATCAAATTTTGACAACTAAGCTAAATATTGGCAATAACAGTAAACAGACATGACTAAAGGTATCCCTACTTGAACTACCCCAGTAGTTACAAAGAAGCATGGAAACAAAGTCTCCAAGGCATTACTTGTTTATCCAAGAACAGATAAACGCCAAGTACTCAGGGTCTAACAAATAGCACAAGATGTGACAAGCTCCTATAAGTAATTTGTGCATTCAGTTTTGAAAGTTTCATACAACTTATAATCAAATATGTTTTCTAGAGAAATTGGTAGCTTATAAAAAGATATAAAACCTGGAGGTTACCGAAGATCAATATGTAACATAAGTACACCGGTCAACAGCTGTCCTAAAGCACTAACCACGACAATCACATCAAGTAGTCGAAAGTACTCACCACCAAAACGAACTGAACTTTGCTGAAAAACTTGCTCCTTTTATCAGTAGCATTAAAATTCATCACTCAGTAGTATTGTTAGTTGTCATTTTGATATTGGCCGACTGTCTGATATTCTAAGCGATGTTAATAAATTACTGTACGGCGAAGAGTCAGATGCATAGTTTAAAAATGCATTAGCTGGAAAAGAAATTATGCACAAAGAAGACTGCTATTATCCTCCAACTTTCCTCCCACGTTACTTAATGAATGCTGTATACAATCAGTATAGCTTAATTGAAGCAGGAACATTATTTGTAGCCTGATATAAATTCACAATTCCCATTTAGTGAAGATAAAACTTTTCAATGAACTTTTTCTCAAGCTGTACATGATGATCTGAGGATAGAATGGAAATACACTAACCTTTCCTACTGTGTGTGACAGCTCAAACCTCGGTAGGTGGAGGGGGGTTCAAACCTGTCACCCATCGGTTGGTAATCAAGTGCCTAAAGCAACGAGCCACAGGTCCACGGATAAAAGAATAATCCGCAATGATATGATGAATAAAAACATGTTTACGAATTTGAAAGGAATAAACGAGTAAAAGTCAGTAAAGATGACTAGTCTTTCGAAGATGATATAGAGTGAATACATCTGCTGCACTAGTAGAGCGACTTCAAAGGCCACTGTAGCGACGATCAAAATAATCAATTAAATTTGTTCATTTTGTCCGGAAAGGTATATTTTGAATGACTTTAAAGGCCACCCTGCCAACTGCATAAATAACATATCAAGTTTTGGGATTCCGCCTAGGAGGAGTAGTTTTTCCTAGGGTGGCCTTTAAAACCAATCGACTTTACAGGCCACCATAACAGCTGGAGTAACCAACTAGACTTCTTTATTTTATGAAAATCTGCCTTTCCAGACGAAATGAAGAAACCTAATTAGTTATTTCAATCGTTCCTAGAGTGGCCTTTAAAGTCGCCCAAGGTTTGTCAACTGAATTCTAATTGGATGACTTTTAAGGCCGCCCAAGCAACGATAGAAATAACCAATTGGGTTTCTCCATTTCAGCTGGAAAGGCAGACTTATAATGAATCAGAAAAATCTGATTGTTTAGTTGCGGCATTTAGTCACTTTTTTCAACTTGTGTTCAACTTCAAACTATGACTCATGTATGGTGGAACAACAAAATGAATGGTATCTAGGTTAGGCCTAGAGATGGATGACTGACTTTAAAGGCCACCCTAGCAACTGCTAAATTAACCAATCAAATGCCAGAATTTCGTATGGAAAGGTAGTTTCCCATAGAATCGAGGAACGTGATTGGTTATTTCAGCAGTTACTTGGGTGGCCTTTAAAGTCACGTGTTGAAAATCGTTAGTTTCTTCAAAATATTCACCTTCAGCAACCATATCTCAAAGTTGGACTTTCGAGCACAATGGGCTGCTGAGTAGTACATACCTCTATACCCAGACTGTTAAAACTTGAAATTAGTTACATGATCACGAATAGAAGACGGGAAGAAATGAGTTGCACAATGTGACGAATTATTTTCAAGTTCAGAGTACAATATTAAACCTTTAAAACGATAGGACTGACAAAGAAAAACACTGCTTCCAATTTCATACCTCCATTATAAGTATTTTTAGTTGTGCGGCAAGATATCAACAAGTAAAAGGAAAAAATTCTGAATAGAGACATAAAGTAGGTTGAAATACTAAAAGAAAACCCCAATCATGTCGTTTTCAGTTCTGATTTCTGGTCGGCTTCTCGTCTACAAACGGAAAGTTTCGACAGCTGAACAACGCTTCAATTGAGTGCGTTTTTCTGTTACCACTAATTCTTTTTACTAACATTTCTCCTCGAGAATGTTGTGCATAATGAGTAGTCTTCGATGTATATACGCCACGGATACCCATCAAAGATGCTTCTGGCGACTAGGTAAAATACCCGTCAACCCCCAGGAGGATTATAAATGTTTCGCGAATAAGTAACTTTTCATTCAAATCTTATGATACAGGAGAGACGCTGTCATCAATCTTACAAAATATACACAATAGTTTTTAAAAATATTTCTCAGATATATGCACTCTAAAAATGAACATAAACACTTGAGACTTTGAAAAAAACCAACCTGGCCAAGACCGAAACATGAGGATAAGAGCATTTCTTCCACAGACTGTAAATGAAGGATAACTATAATTGCAGTGGATGATGTTTTCAATGAAGCAGAAAATAAAATCAAAACAAAAATTCTGATGAATTTTGTGCAATCATTTAAACAGTTGAGTAAATTATCAGTTTCAATATTCCTAATCTCAAGATTATACTTTCTTGCCTGGTACCGAAAAAAGTTTACTGTGCCATGCAAAGAACTTTCACTTAAGGAGGTACGATATTACTTGGTTTTCAATATCCGATAAGTGGAGTGGGTGTGAATCTGTATCTCCTGACTTAGAGCTAGCATGTTAACAGTATTTTAGACACATGTTTGAAGTCTTGTTATCTTAAATCCAAAACAAGTCAGATTATCAAATACATCTTGCCCATGTACATTAAAAGGCACAAAGCTTAACCTAATGACTTCTTGTCACTTGCTTTCCATTACCTGGTAAAAAAAATGTTGTCACGATTTTTAGCCACGTAACTCAGTAGGTAAACTTCAAAATTTAACCAATAGAATTCGGACAGCAGACAGAAAAAATCAACTTAGAACCTCCCAAACAAGCGCATCGGCTCGTGTTGCCACACTTCACAGTAGTATACAAAGAACAGGAGTGATATTAAAGCATACAAAGTTGTGTGAGATGGTGAACAATTCGAAGATTAAGGTTAGTGAGAATATTCAAGGTTTAGAAGGTGTCAAGGAGTGAATACATCGGCACCATTGTGACCGATTTTCAGCCACGTAGCCAAGAATCCTCAACGACTGTTTCCTATCATCTCGCTGACCCAGTCAGTCAGTTAGTCCACATCTCCCCACACGACTCAGACCAACAGTAAGACTTCATCGACTGGTGGCATGTCTTAGTTTGGGCACCCTGAACCCTCATCCAACTTGCAGTTCGAGGTACGTAGCGACTAGGTATGTGCAGTACATGTAAACGCCACCTCAGTCGACTAAAATTCACAACCTCATCAACTGACTATTTGTTTTACCGAATACGCTTTTCCTGACCTCAACATTACTCACACGGTAATTCCACCAAACGTTAGCGATGCTACGAAGATGGAAAACCTGTAATCACTGCATGCCCTCCACTTTAAACAGCCATGTTTCACAGCAGTAAAACAGGATAGAATGGACTGCAGTGGACAGAGGACAGTGACCATTACCTAGTGATCTATCGTTATGCGACTAAACAACGTATCTAAAATAAGGACGGTTTTTCCGAAATAGACATTATATTACTCAAATCAGTAGTACCCAGCATTATGAAGTAATTGGGACAAAATTCAAAAATTTATTCTTAAGAAGGAGAATATACCATAAACTTACGTGTCAAAAGATGGTTTAGGACGAAAGAAAGAATGTGATACAGATGTGTAGGTGGCAAAGAATTTCTAAAACGGAAAAAATAAATAACTGAAATATTAAAATGCAACATTGAAGATTCTTTCTCTTCATTTCGGAAAAAAGATGCAGTTCAGGGAGGGCTAGAAATAATGCACAGTGAGTAAATATAGATTAAAACGAGAAATCAGTGTAATCTATGACAGTAAACAATTAGTGTGTACCAACCAATTGCAACCTGCAACAGCCTACATCGAACACAGTGCCGAAGGAACTGTGGAGCTGTGACTCAGTGGTTTGGTGAGATGACTATCAACCATTGGGTCACGTGCTCGAACCCCGCTCCACCGACCACGGCTTGGGCAGCCAGATAGCGTCACTAGCCCTCACACAACAGGTGCGGTTCATTGCCTACAGTACGGATGTGCACAAGGTGGCTGAGTGGGTTTCGTTTTTTTCGCAGACGGAATTTATTAGTTTTATTCTTTCAAAATAATGAAATTTCAATTGTTCAGCAGTAAGAACAATGTACAAAAAAGGTTAATACAATCATAAAGAGCGATAGAAAGTATGAAATTGGACTGACTAAAAATTTTTACTCAAATACCCTATCACAATGCGCTTTGCGTTTAAAATATGACTCTAAATAGACATCGACTATTAATCAAAGTAGCTATAGATTCAGATGTGCTATTGGAACCCTCCCGGTCAAACTTGCAATGTGGTTAATATGATAAGCTGGATTCGGCGTTAGGTACCAGTGGTCAGCTGGAAGGAAACCAAGCATCTAAGTGGTTTTCTTGTCGCCACCCAGCAATGAGGCATAGCAGCGACCGTGAAGAAATTCCTAGAATATTTCAGCTAATGCAAACTAAATGCTTAAGTCAGAGACTATACGGGTCTCAGATGATATGAAGTGACTGATGTAAGCGTTAAATCCTGAGTACTGAATTGTGTCTATCGATTGAAAGTATGATTTCCCTGTCATTTTTTAGTGACACTGCCACGGATAATCCCAGTAAATACAGTGTCTCAGCTGAAAGCATTTTAAAACAGATTCTTTTTTTAGATTAACAGTGGACTATACAAGTCAGTTCATAATGAAGTGAAACAATGTTCATGAGTGTCAAAAACAAATACTCCAATGTGAGTTCAAACAAAGCCGGATTTAAGTATTAAACTCAATTATGAAATCAGCCTCCTTATCAAAATAAGATTCTCGATCAGTAACATTCCTCTATATTAATGCAAGTGCAGAATTTGGGCACTGGTAGAATGTAATACTATATCAGATTAGTCGATCTGATATAGTGGTTACATAGTAATACAGCACTATTTACTTCATGATGTTTCGAGCATAGATTATTGCTCATAATCAATCATACTGAGATACATTGCTAAAGCTGAGTAAAAGCAAACGCTCCGAGCATGAAAATAAAAACAAAACAATTTACAAACTACACACGTCAACCCTACCGTATGATGAAAAAGTGTAATAAGTAGTATCTATGCGCGCATATATATATATATATATATATATATATATATATATATCAGTAAATGCGACATGCACAAAGAATTGCCAGAAATCAATTAGAATAAACATCACATACACATGATACAGCATATAAAATGATAAAATACACATTTATCTAACCGATATAAGACTGTTGGGTAACAGTTGTGCATAATCTGAGCGATTGAGTACTGATATCAAAGAAAGCATTACAGCCTCATGAATACGTGAAGAATGATAGGTGTACATTGTACTTGTATATACGAATGTTGACATTAGAGCTTGAATAATAGTTCGTCCGATTACTGGGAATAATTTTTATTTTTATTAACATTATTACTGTGGTTATTGTTATCAGGTAGATTTGAATCACTGGGATGAAAATTTTGTTGGTAATGATACGGTGTAGGTCTTATCTTTGAATGAACGACAAACGACGGGATTTAGGTGTATCGTTAAACGATCTGAGGCTAAAATCACTAGACAAAAAAAAAAATTATTTATGTGCATAAGGAATAAAATATAAAGTTATTTGAAGAGAAGCTAAGCCACTTACGTATGCACGCACGTAATCAACAGATGATATTACAGATGATTTATCACGCTGAGTGAAAAGTTTATCAAAGTTATAAAACGCTGATGACTGGATATCAATTGAGTTACTCGACAATGACCACCCTACCATCTAGGCGTGCGCCCACTAGGAACTTAAACTATTCTAAAGCATAGGAAATTACAACAGATATTCACTTTCGATCTCTTTCAGATTATGGCACTTTATGATAAGTCTGTAAATAAGAATTGTGGAGAGTTTTTGTAGCGCAAGTAGATGATATGCAAATTGACATGTTCTCTAAGCAGCATTGTTTAATTATGAGCTCTCAGTATCTCTTTTAAACAACGTTATTAATATTAACTTCAATATGAATCAAAATAAATTTTCTCAGTCAGACGGACTGTTACTAAATATGCGCACCACGGTATCAGTGCAATCATATAATCTATTATAGTTGCTACAATTCAATAACTTAGGATCGTATTGACATTTGAACTGATCATCAGTATCCATCAGAAATAATCAAATTATAGGTAATTTCAGGTGGGAGACAGGATATAAGAGTAAAACTTGGGCATTTTGGTACAGTATAATTCCATATTAAATTGTTTACTTGATATAACAAGTACACAGTGATACAGCATTGTTTACTGAATGACATTTCAAGCATAATTCATTGTTCATATTCATATCAAAGATACTGTTTACCTAACAGCTAGCAATGTAGAGCTGTGGCTAATCTGTTGGACATTTGACTTTCGCTCATTAGATTACAGGTTGGAAGCCCAGCCCAGTCACATTAAACTTGTACACCCTATGTAGTACCACTTCTCAACACAAGATAAATATGAATCACACACTAGCACAAATATTTGACTGTCGAATTGTACTGATATAAAGTATCCCTAGTAGACTCCCACGATAGTGAGGCATGCCTCTGATGGCACAATTTTACACACGTTGATTAACTTAGCGTTAATCAAACAACACAAATGATGACAACAAAACTAAAGCCTTCTATTGACTAATTTGGGCATTAATTTATAAAAGTTTGTATTTAACAGGGCGTGCAAATGAGAAATGCATTTTTTCGAGAGACTTTAAAGGCCACGCTAGCAACTGCTGAGATAACCAATTACATCCATCTATTCTATGGAAAACTATCCCCCCCAGCCGAAATTCTGAAATTTGATTGGTTAACTTAGCAGTTGCTAGGGTGGCCTTTAAAGTCACTCTTAAAATCCCTCTGCTTTTTTCAAGTCTCATTCATGAGGTCTAGGAAAATAATAATCCATTTAAGGAATCTGGTTTATATGGTCACTTTGTAATTGTTAGCATCTTTTACTAGTCGCACATACAAGTCTGAAATAAGCACACAAACATATCCAATTAGTTGAAAGTTAGTACAATTTAGAGGTTTGTAGGGATTTATTTATTGACTTCAGGTCTATATTCATCATGGACTGATATCAGTTGGAGAAACATTGGAAACCTGGTAGCACTGAACAACTGGGATCGAACCCAGGAACCTCCAGGTCATGAGTGCGCAATGCTGAGGCCCATTATTATTATTATCATTATTAGTCCCTTGGGTTCCTAGTGGAACATAGGGCTTCAGTAGCACGCCTCCAGTGACCTCTGTTCTCTGAGATCTTTTGAACCTGGTCCCACGACAGCCCAGAAGCTCTCATTTCCTGCTCGCACGACCTCCTCCATGTCACCCTCGGACGTCCAACTCGTCGCTTCCCATGGGGATTCCACTCGAGGGCCTGACGCGTGATGTCCTCAGTCGGCCTTCTCAGTGCATGGCCAATCCATCTCCACTTCTTCCTGCATATTTGTTGCGTGATAGGTTCTTGGTTGGTTCGTTCCCAGAGTTCCTTGTTGCTTATTTTTTCTGGCCATCTGATCTTCAGCAGCGAGCGTAAGCAGTTGTTGATGAATGTCTGTAGTTTATTGGAAATACCTTTCGTGACGCGCCAAGTCTCTGAGCCATACAAGAGCACTGACTTGACGTTGGTGTTGAAAATCCGTATCTTGTTCCGCATGCTGAGTGCAGAAGATCTCCACACTGGTTTCAGGCTAATGAATGCCTGTCTTGCTTTTCCGATTCTGACTTTGACGTCCTCGTCCGTCCCGCCTGTAGTTGAAACAGTGCTTCCTAGATAAGTGAAGGAGGTTACTTCCTTTAAGTTTCTCCCGTTGACAGTGATTGGAGTGTTGTTGTTGTTGTTGTTGATGGTGGTGGTGCGGTATCTTCATCACTTCTGTCTTCTCTATATTCACCTGAAGTCCCGTCTTCGCTGCCTCTTCTATCAACTTGTTAGTTTTTGCCTGCAGATCTTCAAGTTTATGTGACATTAGGCATAAGTCATCGGCGAAATCCAAGTCTTCTAGGTTCTTTTCCGTCGTCCAGTGTATCCCCCTCTTCTCGCTGCCTACTGTTTGCTGCATGATCCAGTCCACCACAATCAGGAATATCATGGGGGATAGTAGGCAACCTTGTTTCACTCCTGTCTTCACTTCAAAGGCATCACTGAGCTTCCCATTGTGGATTACTTGGCATGTGGCATCTTCATATAGTTGTTGAATGAGGCGGATAAAGGTTTGCGGTACTCCGTAGTATTGAAGCAGTTTCCAAATTACTTCTCGGTCGACGCTGTCAAAGGCCTTCTCAAAGTCGATGAAGTTGAGGTGGAGAGGTGATTGCCATTCTATGCTCTGTTCTATGATGATGCGAAGCGTTGCAATTTGGTCTGCACATGATTTGTACTTCCTGAAGCCTGCCTGTTCCGGTCGTAGTTTTGAATCCAGTGCATCCCTTAGCCTCTCCAGGATGATGCGGCTTAATATTTTACTTGGGGTGGACAGGAGAGTGATTCCGCGCCAGTTCTTGCAAGCACTGAGGTCTCCCTTCTTCGGCAGTTTGACAAGGTAACCCTTCTTCCAATCGTCAGGTACCTTCTCTTCCTTCCACACCTTCTGCAATAGTGGTGTGAGCATGGCCGCTGTTGTCTCTGCATCTGTTTTCAGTGCTTCTGGCGGTATTCCATCTGGTCCTGCTGCTTTCCCACATTTCAGTAGCTTTATGGCGTTCAGGACTTCCATTTTCGTTGGGGGATTAATGTTCACTTGTAGTTCAGCGGCTGCAGGTGGTATTTCTGGACGAAGTGCAGGTGGTGGTCGATTCAAGAGCTTCTTGAAGTGGTCGGCCCATCGTTTCCTCTGTTTCTCTTCTTTTGTAATTAAATTTCCTTCTTCATCTTTTATTGGTTTCATCTGTGTTGGTCTCTTCCCTGATAGCAACCTGGTTATTTGATACAATGTCGTCAGGTCTCTCTTACCTGCAGCCTGTTCTGCTTCACTTGCCAGTGTTTCGTAGAAGTGTCTTTTGTCTTTGCGTGCACTCTTCTTCACTTCTTTGTCCAGTGTTTTATACATTGTGCTCAGTTCCTCTTGTCGTTGAGCATCCTTGCACTGGTTTATCTTCTGCTTCACCATCCTCCTCTCCTCTATCAGCTTCCAGGTATCCGTCGAGATCCATTCCTTGTCTTCTTTCTTCTTCCTTCCTAATACTGTTGTGCAGGTTTCTTTCCACATAGCTTTCAAAGACTTCCAATGTTCTTCCACACAGGTTTCTTCAGGGATGTTGCTCGATGTCTCCCATTTTGTCTTGATGGCTGCCTTGAAGATCTCCTTTGTAGTTTCATCCTTCAGTTTCCGAGTGTTGTACTTGGGTTGAGGTCTATCACCAGCTTCCTTGAAGGCTTTTAACTTGATTTGGAAGGTTCCTTGCACTAGGTAGTGGTCTGAACCTACATCTGCTCCTCTTCTTGACCTTGTGTTAAGTAGACTGCGTCTCCATTTTCTTGAGATTGAGATAAAGTCGATTTGATTTTTAGTGTGTCCATCTGGTGAAATCCATGTCGCTTTGTGGATATCTTTGTGCCTGAACACACTGCCTCCAATCACCAAATCGTTGAATGCGCAGAATTCTGCAAACAATTCTCCATTCTCATTCATTTCACCTAGTGCCTCTCGACCCATGGTTAGTTCTCTTCCCGTGTTGTCCCCTCCCAGTTTGGCATTCATGTCGCCCATCAGAATTTTGATATCGCCAACTGACGTCTTGTCCAGTGTTGATTGAAGTTGTCTGTAGAAATCCTCCTTTTTCTCTTGCTCTGCATTATTTGTAGGTGCATAACATTGTATGATTGTGACCTTTCTTCCTTTTGAGTTGAATCTTGCTGTCATGATCCTGGAGGAGATTGGTTCCCACTGCATGAGAGCCTTCGATGCTCTTGAGGACATCATGATAGCCACTCCCTCAGTGTGCTCGTGGTTGGCGTCTGGGTGACCGGAGTAGATTATTGATTCTCCAGTTGACAGTTTGGAGAGTCCACTCCCATTCCATCTGCTTTCGCAAATCCCAAGCACTTCGATGTTATACCTTCTCATCTCCCTTGCAATCTGGGCTGCCTTACTGGGTTCAAACATCGTGCGGACATTCCATGTCCCCACGTTTACTTTCGCTTTCATCGAGAGAAGACACATCGGCCAATTGGCTTCCCGAAGGCTTTCACCAACTGGCGTCATTTCGCCTCTCCGATTCCAGCGGGGAATAAGTTTGTTTTCATTTTTTATATTTTGTTTGTGCTTTGAAGTTTCTTTAGCGGTTAGATTTGTTTTACGGGGTAGGGTTGCTAGCCCTATGCCCAACCTTCCCTCTTTACCCGGGCTTAGGACCGGCTAGTAACTAGTAAACTAGTTAACCAGGCGAGGTTGCTGAGTCCCATACTAGGACGAAACACTTGTCCAGTGCTCTCAGGGTTCCAATGTTTTCCCAAATGTTGTCAAACCATGATGAAAACCAACCCAGAAGCTAAAAGTACATGCGATTCTGATAAACAATTGTTAACGATAAAATCTGATACATACCTAGTTCACAGAGGATCAGTAAGCAACTCCGAATAGTTGTATCCAGTTCCATTTCATCAAAATCAGCGAACTTCACGTTAATTTCTGGAAAATCCCCAACACGACGAGAGTGAATAGATGTGCGATGTGGGCCGGCTGTTGGACCTACAATAGCTCCCCTTTGACCAGTTTTATTTAAACCCGTGATTGAATGACGATGAACTTCCAAACAAGGTGCAACAACAGCATTAATTAAACTTGGAGGAATTAGATGAGGTGTAAGTCGAGTAAGGTGATGAATTAAACGCAGTACAATTTGACGCTCACTAATAGTAGACACATAAGATCCAGCACTTCGAGTTGCCAATAACGATTTCATTGGGTGAGTAGGATCAAACAAAGGTGGTCGAGAGAAACCTAACACAGTTATCCAAAATAGTGTAAGAACGTTATTGTATGAGGTATCGAATATGCCACTATGATCGAAAATAAAAACAAAGCTTAAAAGTTGACTGACTACAATTTTAGTGAGTTTGAAAAATTGCTACAAAACTAGTTTAATAAATATATGAATTGATTTCATCCTGTAATGCTTATAAAAATCAACATAACTATTAGGATAACAATAAAGGTTATTAAACTATCCTACTATTAGCTAGAATTTTGACCATGTATTGCTAGACGCACTAACATCTGGTAGGTCGCCATCATCTCATTACATTACATTGTATTTGGTAAGATCATCCTTTCACTAGGCTGCATTCTTAGAATATATACAGACTGAAGTCATATAGCGGTAGGCACACAGAATAAAGTATGATGAAATAAGTTATGCAAACTAACAATTACGAATAGACTATCGTACATACTAAGTAGTGTCCATCACGTAGAGGCAAAAGGTACCAAAGTTAATTTAAAATAAATTACATGAACATTGATCAGCGTGTGACTGAATGATGACATGTTGATTATAGACCTACATACTCGATATTCAACTAGCAGGGCATGGGTTCGAACCCCGCCCCAACTACCGGGGTTTCAATAGCCATAGAGTATCACGGCTCTGACGTCAAACTTGTGACCTGATGCAGGAATTTTTATGCGAGTTATGAGGTACCTTATAAGATCTCAGAGCGAAAACTAAGGAAATAGAAGTGTGAAGTGACAAAAGTGAAATGAACAGGTATGTATGCTAATCGAACGGTTTACATGTAGAAGAAGAAAGGATGATGAACAAGCTAAACAAACTAGGCATTTCAGTGACAAACGGATAAACCTTCATTAAAACAAATGAGTTTCCTTTATAATCTTGTAGTGACTTGACATAACATGAATTTTATATATGTAGACGCTTAAATAATAACCTTCAGATCCCAGTTTACGACAAATGGAAAAGGCGGCAATATAGTGGAGGTGTATTGCGACGTTAAAAATATATACAAAATACAAAAGTTTTGGCTATTTCCAGGACTTTCTAGATTTGGATGCCCTATTGATTTCGTCCATTCAACCTATCCGATATTTACAACTTGGTTTGTGTGCTTTCTCTCGAAACATCAGTGTTACATGATTAGTTGTAGGAAGCTTCAGGGATACAGGGCTTTTTATGAAGATTATGGCAATTTTGTTTCACACTATAACAGTTTCACAAAACCAACGACGATTATTTTAATTTACACCTTTTTGATAACGTCATGAATCAGACACATTCGCTTGTATTGTGAGTTGTACTTTGAATGCCATACCTCTCAATACGAATATCAGAAAAACTGCCTTACTGTTTGTTAACTAAAAGAATCAAATATATATACTCTTTACTAAGTTGGCTTCATTCATTGAAAATCAACTCTTTTCTTCTTTTCGAAATCTAAAAATATAGAAAATTCTGTGGCGCCTGTGAGATATCCGACTATCTATCAAAGGACGAGTATACTGTGCTGCAGTCCGCTCCGTTCTGTTGTATGGCTGTTACACATGGCCTGTTAAAAGTAGAAGATATGAAGCGATTACAGGGTTTTGATCACAAATGTCTTCACAGGATTTCTCACGTCTGGTGGAACCCCCGTGTGAGTAGTGTTGAAGTCAGGTGGAGGGTACTAGGCAAACAAGGATGACAAGTCGATGGATCAGATTGTGAATCTTCATCGACTGAGGTGGTTTGGATACGTTTTGCGCATCCCGAATCATCACCTACCTCGATGTGCCCTGTTAGAGGAAGCTGAATTAGCTTGGAAGAGTGTTCAGGGTTGCCAGGCCAAGCAAGATGTGGCATCAGTCGATGAAGTCTATGACTGTTGGTCTGAGCCGTGTCGGGAGATGTAGACTGTCTGGCTGAAGTGCGCGAGAGGCTAGGAATCAATGGTTGAAAATTCTTGGTGACAAGGCTGAAAACCGATCAACGTGGTGCAGATCTACTCACTACTCTGTGATGTCTTCTATGTTTTGAATATCTGTGCTAAAGTTTATCCCTCATACTATTTGTCTACTTTTAAATCACTCTGATTCCATCCATCTCTTTGTTTACCACTGTGAAATGTGGCAAGTTAAACCGATGCACTTTTTTGGGAGGTTCTACGTTGATTCTGTCTGTCATTGCCTGCCTGTTTGTCTGAAAAATGAAGGCTATAGTTAAACATTCTAGATTTCTGAAAATCAGGATAAATCATATTTTCATATGCGGTGCAAACAAGACTATAAGTCAACCATTGGTTCGGATTAGTGTCTACCATTGTTAGATTGGTGAAATGAACGAGAATGGACAATTGTTTGCAGAATTCTGTGCATTCAACGATTTGGTGATTGCAGTGAGGCAGTGAGGCAGTGTGTTCAAGCACAAAGATATCCACAAAGCGACATGGATTTCACCACACACCACATACCACTAAAAATCAGATCGACTTCATCTCAATCTCAAGAAAGTGGAGACGCAGTCTACTTGACACAAGATCAAGAAGAGGAGCAGATGTAGGCTCACACCACCATCTAGTGCAAGGAACCTTCCAAATCAAGTTGAAAGCCTTCAAGGAAGTTGGTGATCGACGGCCACAGTTCAAGTTCAATACCCAGAACAGAAATTGAAGGACAAAACTACAAATGACATCTTCATGGCAGCCATCAAGACAAAATGGGAGACATCGAGCAACATTTCTGAAGAAACCTGTGTCGATAAGCACTGGAACTCTTTGAAAGTTATGTGGAAAGAAACCTGCACAACAGTATTAGGAAGGAAGAAGAAAGAAGACAAGGAATGGATCTCGACGGATACCTGGAAGCTGATAGAGGAGAGGAGGATGGTGAAGCAGAAGATAAACCAGTGCAAGGATGCTCAACGACAAGAGGAACTGAGCACAATGTATAAAACACTGGACAAAGAAGTGAAGAAGAGTGCACGCAACGACAAAAGACACTTCTACGAAACACTGGCAAGTGAAGCAGAACAGGCTGCAGGTAAGAGAGACCTGACGACATTGTATCAAATAACCAGGTTACTATCAGGGAAGAGACCAACACAGATGAAACCAATAAAAGATGATGAAGGAAATTTAATTACCAAAGAAGAGAAACAGAGGAAACGATGGGCTGACCACTTCAAAAAGCTCTTGAATCGACCACCACCACCACCACCTGCACTTCGTCCACAAATACCACCAGCAACCCAGCCGCTGAATTACAAGTGAACATAAATCCTCCAAAGAAAATGGAAGTCCTGAACGCCATAAACCTACTGAAATGTGGGAAAGCAGCAGGACCAGATAGAATCCCCCCAGAAGCACTGAAAACAGACACAGGGACAACAGTGGACATGCTCACACCACTATTGCATAAAGTGTGGAAGGAAGGGAAGGTACCTGTAGATCGATTGGAAGAAAGGTTACCCTGTAAAACTGCCGAAGAAGGGAGACCTCAGTGTTTGCAAGAACTGGTATGGAATCATGCTGCTGTCCACCTAGAGCAAGCAAAATATTAAGCCATATCATACTGGAGAGACTAATCGATGCGCTGAATTCCAAACTACGACCGGAACAGGCTAGCTGGATTCAGGGAGAACAAATCATGTGCTGACCAAATTGCAACGCTGCGCCACGCATCATCATAGAACACAGCATAGAATGGCAGTCAACCCTCTACCTCAACTTCATCGACTTTGAGAAGGCCTTTCACAGCGTCGACCGAGAGGTAATTTGGAAACTGCTTCAATACTACGGAATACCACAAACCTTTATCAATCTCATTCAACAACTAACTACATGAAGACGCCACATGCCAAGTAATTCACAATGGGAAGCTCAGCTCAGTGATGCTTTTGAAGTGAAGACAGGAGTGAAACAAGGTTGCCTACTATCACCCATGATACTCCTGATTGTAGTCGACTGGATCATGCAACAAAGTGTGAGGAGCGAGAAGAGGGGGATACAATGGCTTGATCGGGGAAAAGACCCCAGAAAAAGATTTAGATTTCGCCACCGTTGATGATGATGATGATGATGATGATGATTTATGTCTAATGTCTTGTTGCACAAACTCGAAGATCTACAGGCAACAACTAACAAGTTGACAGAAGAGGTGAGGCAGGGCAGCGAAGACGGGACTTCAAGTGAATATAGAGAAGACAGAGGTGATGAAGATACTGCACCAACAACTCCAACAACAACAACAAACTCCAATCACCATCAACGGGAGAAACTTAAATGAAGTAGTCTCTTTCACCTATCTAGGCAGCATGGTTTCAACTACAGGTGGCACAGGTACAGACGAGGATGTCAAAGCCAGCAAGGATCGGAAAGACAGCAAGATAAGCGTTCATTAGCCTGAAACCAGTGTGGAGATCTTCTACACTCAACTCATCATGTCGAACAAGATCCGGATTTTCAACACCAATGTCAGTCAAGTAACTCAGTGTTTCTATGTGATGGTTGAGAGACTTGGCGCGTTACGAAAGGGATTTCCAACAAACTACGGACACTCCTCAACAACTGCCTACGCTGGCTCGACACTGAAGCTCAGACAGCCAGAAATAATAAGCATCAAAGAACTCTGACTGGCTGGTGACGAAGCAACCAAGAACATATCACTCAACAACTATGCAGAAGGAAATGGAGATGGATTGGATTGGGCATGCACTGAGAAGGCCAACTGGGGACATCACGCGCCAGGTCCTCAAGTGGAACCCAGATGGGAAGCGACGAGTTGGGGGTCCAAGGCGAGGGTGACATGGAGGAGATCGTGAGAGGAAGAAATGAGAGCTTCTAAGCTGTCGTGGAGCCAGGTTGAAAAGGTTTCAGGGAACAGAGCGCATTGGAGACGTGCTACTGACGCCCTATGTTTCACTAGGAACCCAAGGGACAAATAATAATAATAATAATTGTTAGATTAGTATACTACAAGCCACACTGACAGCATCCTCAAAGAACCTAAAGGAGATGGGGAAGCAGATATACATCGAACGCGCCAGTGTAACTGGTCATTTGACTGTAACAAAAACAACAAGCAGCAAGTTGCTGAGTTGTGAGAAGGAAAAAAGGACAAAAATACAAGATCTCTATCTAAGAGAATGTACCGCTTTAGAAACTATCTGAAGATCGTATTCGACATTGTGTAGTGTGTTAATGCATTCACCTGTTTACAAAAACACTAGTGTACAAACACCGATTAAACTCTCTTCAGGTATTAAACCAAGTCAGTGAATTTTAAGAACTGTGTAAACTAACTTGTCATCAATATGATGTTCACACAAAAGTTAAAAGCAGGAGGAGGTCAGTATACCTCACAAACATCCATGTAACTATTTCACGTATTTCTGTGGATAAGGTAAAACGATCAAGAAAGTACTGCAGCTGACGTCTTCTCAAAACTTGAAGTGAGCACTTTTCACAACTATGGTCTTCAAGATAGTAGGAACCAGCCGTTAACACTTAATCTACCGATACATAGTGAACACATCATTTTGTCCACCTTCGACTAACTTTTCTATTCTTTTTCACATGAGAACGTCTTTGTGTGAATGCTCTGTATTGCTGTTATTACAACGTGTGGCAACTTTAGTCGGCTCACACCTTTAAGGCGACTTCTTACACTGTCGCATTTTTCCATCTATCTAAACATTACGCTCAAATGCGCTGACTCAATAAGCTCCACTACAATTTTGTTACCCAGAAATCCGAACATAATGGTTAAAACTTGAGTTGCCATATGTTGTAATCATACAGTATATATATAGTGCAAGAAGGAAGCAACAGAAAGATGAATCAGACTGGACACAAGAAGTATGACTCACGAGTAAAATTTGGCCCTTTTCTGAATAATACACCACTATTGCCTCCACTAGTCTGATGTTGACTGCCGTCAGTTATTAGACAACTAGATGATTCTTCAGTAAACTGACGAGATGAAGATGTCGAACTGATAGGACTATTCAATGGGGCAACGAATTTAGCTCGAGGATTATAATCTGTTCCTCTTCGGGTGTAATTCCCAGTCAATTCACTGGATGCAACAAAATTTGTTTGGTGGTAAGACAGATCCATACACCTACAGAAAAAAAAAATTGAAAAAAACTCATGTTTTAGACAAGGCAACATATTGTATACAAATACTTCCATTTTCTAGACCAAAATTATTCTCACCAATCATATCATCAAAACGTTTGAGACTGCACCGATTTTATTGACGCAGTAATGAAAAACAAATCACACAACTGATCATTCAAGCATTCATCTATCACTTTTAATATAAACTAGAACACCATTTGCAAACAAAAGTCTATTCAGTGGGGAAAAAAACTATCTCATCACATAAAATCAACTGGGAGGACTGTAAAATTCAGAGACTAGAAAAACCTTTGGCACTAATGAATAATGGAAAGCAGAAACTACAGCCAGGTATATGGAACGCTTGTTCCTTTGAGAGAGGGAGGTCTGTTATAGTGTAAATTGTTACGCTATGATGTGAGTTCAAGGGCGAAGTTGCTCTGTGGGCTAGATGAAGCGTGATAGTGGTGAGGTGTTGCTCACAGATGACCAACAGTACCACGCTGATACTGTCTCTGCGGTTATAAATGGTTGGCCTCCAAAAAAGCTCGTACCTCTCTTCCCTGTGGTCTTCCAGTGCTGGTTGTGTGTTCTTCCCATCCAGCATAAGAACAATCAATTCTCAAAACCATAAAAATCTTAAAAAGGCTGTATGTGACAGATATCAAGAAGATATTTCAAGGGGTGCAGTCATACAAATCTTTTCTCTCCCAAGTACCCTGCAGAAACAACTTCAATGGTGCAGGCAGGCGGGAAGTGTCGAACGTCAGCACACTTCCAATTTAAAGATGTACTAATGAACGTAACCTTAGGTACATCTGGTTTCACAGGGATTGATCTACTTGCTGGAGGTCAGCTAGTTGACTTGGAGTATGCAGACGATATTGTCTTGCTGGTTGAAGACGCTGATAAAATGCAGGGTTTTCTGAAGGCGTCTAGCAGAAATCTGAGTAAGTTCTGTATGTTTCGCAAGCACCTGTTAAGTGTAAGATGAAGCTCCGGGACTGGTCTGCTGCAAGTACTCCCAGTTGAATGATAGGGAGTGAAGTGGTGAAATGTGTCGACCACTTCAGTTACTTGAAGAGTTGCATCAGCCCGAACCGGTTGGTTGCTGACAAAATCGAAATCTGCATGCAGAAGACCCGTTTGGTATTTGTCAATTTGCGTCGTCTGTGGTGCCGAGTGGGAAGATATCCAACTATCTATCAAAGGACGAGTATACTGTGCTGCAGTCCGCTCCGTTCTGTTGTATGGCTGTTACACATGGCCTGTTAAAAGTAGAAGATATGAAGCGATTACAGGGTTTTGATCACAAATGTCTTCACAGGATTTCTCACGTCTGGTGGAACCCCCGTGTGAGTAGTGTTGAAGTCAGGTGGAGGGTACTAGGCAAACAAGGATGACAAGTCGATGGATCAGATTGTGAATCTTCATCGACTGAGGTGGTTTGGATACGTTTTGCGCATCCCGAATCATCACCTACCTCGATGTGCCCTGTTAGAGGAAGCTGAATTAGCTTGGAAGAGTGTTCAGGGTTGCCAGGCCAAGCAAGATGTGGCATCAGTCGATGAAGTCTATGACTGTTGGTCTGAGCCGTGTCGGGAGATGTAGACTGTCTGGCTGAAGTGCGCGAGAGGCTAGGAATCAATGGTTGAAAATTCTTGGTGACATAACTGGAAATCGGTAACAACTGCGTAGATGTATTCACTTCTTAACATCTTTTAAACCTTGAATATTCACACTAACCTTTAACTTTAGATTGTTTATTCTCCCAAACTACTTTATCTTCTGCGATATCACTCCTTTCGTATCCACCTGTTTTTTGGACTACTATGAAGTGTAGCAAGTTGAGTCGATGCACCTGTGTGCCAGGTTCTACGTTGATTTTGTCTGTTAGTCAGAGTTCGACGGCTAAGTTGCATTGTCGACTGCACGGTATCATGGCAGTTTTTCCCATAAAAGGCTAGTACTGCAAGCTGATGCTACCTCCCCTTCCCTCATCAGTAGGAGAGGTTTGTGAAAGTTCGTCCCAAGAATAAAAATCTTCTGGTACTAATTGATAGGCTTTAGTTTGGACGTAACACAAACCTAAATGCCAAAATCTCAAAACATGTCTATATGAACGGTGGATGTCAATATGGGTCTGCCATGAGGCTAAACTATACCACTTCTGTTTAAGATACTGCATGAAAATAATAACTTTCATGGTATGACTGGCTGCGAAATTCTGACCACCAGCGTGCTTTTAGTAGCATAAGAAACCATATAGTCGAAATTCAGGGATTTCATACCATCAGTGCATGCTGTATTTCCGAGACACACGTACAAGATCTAAGCGTGACTATTCAACTGACCTTCTCTGGCCGATATTAGGAGTTCATAAAATTCACTTCACGAGTGTCCAGAGATTCAACGGTTTTTTCCGTGAACTGGCTGATGTAGGTGTAGAATTCAACTACAGGGAAGAAAGCACACTTCTCAACTGGATCACAGTCGATGAACATCAGTGTGTCATCCAGGTGAATGAACCTGTGAAAACTAGAAAGGATCGTGACACTTGTCGATGCCTATTAGTAAGCTTCCCTATGCACCCAACGACTGCAGTTCGGATGATACAAAGGAGAGCTCTCAATTTCTCTACATTAAGTGAAATGCTCAATCAATGCTATGCTAACAGGAGACTTACACGATCAGTTAGGAAACCTGAGCCAGTCAGATAGGTATCTCCGAGGTATTCATAAAGACAAACTGAAAACAGTGATCGTCTCTCACAATTTTGTTCTGAAAACCATTCATTCTTAGTGAGTACTAATTTTAAGCATAAGACAAGACATAGTCCCACTTGGTGTGTGCTCAGGTCACGCCTACGGTGAGCACGGACAAAACTTATAGCTATAAACCGTCGTTCAACAGGATCGGTGAAACACTGTTGATTCTTTGGAGTTCTTGCTTGGCTCTGATCACGCTTTAGTACAGACACATGTGCTGCAGCTTTAAAGGACGTAGGAAATAAAGCACAGAAAAGTCTTCACATGCCCGGCTAGACGATGAGAATATTGAATGTGTAACTAGAGATGAGGCAGATAGGCATTCATGAGAAATCACTGAATAGCTGTTTCGTTTTAGTTTCCGTCTTCAAAGTTTTCGAAGGTTCTCTAAACGACATCAACAATCCGTGATGAAAACTAGTTTGAAAGCAATCAATCGCTACAAACCACTGATTGACTGGTACTGAAGTTAGCAGCTGATGTAATGAGCGTTTTCGAAACTATATATATATATATATATATATATATATATATATATATATATATATATATATATATATATAATGTATGTGTGTGTATGGTAGTTACACAAGATTTAAAATTTCAGTGATTTGATATACTACAACTTGTGCTGGTTGAGATACTGGATTGGAAGCAAGATTAAAGTTGGTTGTTGTCATATCACAAACTTTTGGCTCAAATTTCTACTGCATAGGCAAGTGAATCAGTATCAGGAGTTCAGAGAGCAACTTCACTCTGAACATCCACATCCTAAGTTACAAATATTCTCCACAAGTTCTATTGTCAGGAATGACCTTCGTCCAGGGATCAGAATATGTTTATATATTGTGTTCATTCGGAGAGAATATGAACTGCTTGCTGGATACCATAGTTTGATAACTTTATCATATTGATCCTTCGAGTTCAAAACGCCAATTTAGTCGGCCGAGACTGATTTACTCGTTTCAAGAAATATTTAATTTAACGACAGAAACGCAGTTAACTGCAGTCGAATTTAGCTATAAAATCTGCCCATTACAAAACATTCTCAGTAAATTCAAACTTTGTAAGCCAAAATAGTTACATAAGTGACACAGGTGCAGATTCTAAACGGGAACGCTTGGTTTTAACATTGAGTGAATAATACTTGGTCTATAAGAAGTCTGGCAGGGGAATAACATTTCAAGACAGAAAATTCACTGTTAAAAAATAAAGAATCATAGTAAACTACTCAGGTTCTCCTTAGAAGTAACGGGAACTGAAAGTAGACATTACGAACATACTATTAATTTAAAAACATGCACAGAAAGTGATGATAAAGAGGTAGTTGAATATCGTTGCATCAGATGCTAGTAGTACTATAGGTTGCCTAGTTTTTACAACTCGGTTTCATACAAGTAGAGTTTCGCTAATGAATAGCATTAGTACAGACTTAATAAGGCAGTTATATTTGGTCATAAAAATATGTCCCCTTCCACTATATGTTCATAAATTACAGTTAAGAGAATTAGTTAGTCGAAACAAATGTTTCGTCACTGTAATCGTAGTTTCTACTTTGACCGATGATCAAATGGGCTTATTCCGGTGTTTGAAGAAGTAATATATTTGTGAAGATAAAACGATATTAGATTATGAGGGCAAAAGTTGTAATGAAATTATTATAACTCACCGAGCGATTAAAAGGTCCAGACGACATTCTAGAAGTAGCTGAAAATCGAAGGAACTATGCACATAATATCGTAGACAGCGCAAGGCTGCACATCGCAGTGACCGATTGTAATGCCAAATAGGTAAACGCAAACTGAGCAAAAAAACGTTTGGAACCGTTATAGATAAATGTCTGATGTATAAAGTTTTTGAAACATATTAAATTATTCACAAAACCTAAGGATTAACTAAAGCATATGGGAAGTAACCGTTGAAACTCTTTTAAAATGAATGAATAACTCCCTAAACTGTTTTGAAAATACGTAACTCAGCAGCTATAAACAGGTGAATGAACTACGCAATCAGCCACACTGGACATTGGAGGGTTAATGATACTACCTGGCCTTGCAGACCTTAGTAGGTGGGGAGATGTTCGAACCCGTGAGACATTGGTTGAAAGCTTAGAGCCTAGATTGATGAGCCATAGCTCCAAATATCTCCTTAAAACTTATAGCAACAACCAAGAATAATTAGATGGCATAGCAATTCTCCCTAACCCACAGGTAAAATAATAATTTAAAGTCGATATCGTAATTAAAAAGCAATTAAGTTGAATGATTAATAGAACAGTCAAGACTGAACGCGGTTAAGTCACTAGAACCGACTTAAAATACTACCATTCAACTTTTGCAAGTATATACTCCTGAGATATCTTGGCGATCTACGAATATTTCTTCAGAGTTGTTCTCAAAGACACGCTAATTAGTAAATAAGTGTAATGTCCTGAAAAATTCCTCTATACCTCGATACTGCTGTGGCTAGTATGAGTACGCCATCTGTTCGTACACAAAGCAATTTTCGTTTATATTAAATCTAAGAACGTTAGTAGTCCAGCTAAATGATTCTCTTTTCAAGTGTATATATAGACAAATTCATATTTATTTCATTTCTGGTACTTATGAAAATGACCTAGTATGGCGAATTGACTTTAAATGAACCACTGAAAATTACCTACAATATATCATACTGCAAACCATCAGTATGTATAGTTTCACTAATCATCAAAAGACGTGTTTTTATTTCTCATATGTGTGATAATTACTATTAACACAAATGAAATTTACTGAAGTAGAAAGGAATATAGTGTCTGCTTGGAAGGTCATGTAAACCATGTTACACAGCTTCTTCCGAAGAGGCGAGATACACTGAGCAACTATACTCATTACCACACTTCTTAGCAAACCCATAAAAACAAATTCAAGGCAGACAAAGTTAGGCAGCCTTATATATATATATATATATATATATATATATATATATATATATATATATATCCAACAGCATATGAGCTTATGCTATGATAATCCGATTATCCAAACATGGAAAACCACATTTCCCAGCTTAACAAGTAGTATGAAGAAAAAATTCTAAACACGTCTGTGGTGATAGACTTTAGGTCTAAAAATACGAAAACAAACGAGTGAGAAAAAATCAAATATTTTGGACCTTAAAATGAACTTATTTTTGAGTACCGTGACATAAATTGATAGTATTAGCGAAAGAGATTATAGAACAACTAACTACAAATATTACACCAAACATTTAAATAAATTCCTCAGTACGAATACAGAAATATATAATAGTAGTAATAATAACAATATAACAACCTGATATACGTTTAAGTAATAGGTTTTAAGCCACCCCTGTTGTTTGAAGACTTATAATACAACCAGGTTGCTTAGTAGACGGAGGTTTCAATTCCTGGGCCCACTGCTTGAAAGTCACGTTTCTAAGCCAATGAGGCACAAAGGAAATGCACCCTAACGCTAAGAGAAAGTATCGCGTTCTGGTATCAAATTATAACAGAATACCCGCGTGCAGTAATAAGCAGTTTGGGTACATTTGGGTTTAATTTATCCTGCAGTCCGTTTTTATGAAGCGGGGTGTACATCATGGCAATTACATTACAAATTATTAAGATTGAGTCGAAAAGACACTTTTAAAAAACTCGTAGGTTCGATTTCACTACGGATCAGAACAACTAGAACCGAGTAAATGCCTTCAACCCACAAAGTGGTATTATTCAGTCACTATATGCCTATACACGCACGTACAAAAGTCGACCAAATTATTTATACCAAGTAGCTGTACTGTGAAACTATCTATAATCAAGTAATCAGCATATAATTATCTCCTTATCAAACAGAAACCCAATTCTTAGGCTCCCAGTCACATTCAGAGTTTTCTCCAATTTGTTCTGAATAGTTTTACTAACCTTCATACACTGGGTGAATATTACTATCAGTTAAACGAATTCGTAGTTGGCCACCATGATGTATTTTATGAGGCTGTGACTGACTAATCTAAGAAAGCGTATATAATTTTTTCTTGAATCAAATAGCACCCCGAAAATCTGGAACTCTTTAATAACTGCGGATAACGCCAAACAATAAGATACTAACGATCATAATCCATATAAAAGTTCTTGAACTGGTACCTTTCAACTATTATTACTAGTGAACTGCATACAATCACTTAGTGGAAAATCAAATCAGGAAGCGCTCCTTAATCATCTGGAATCCATCTATCCAGATCAACTTAGGACCAGGCATTACTGCGTAACGGTCCGAGTTACAACACTTCATATCAGTACATCAAGTAAACTGGCAGTGAGGTGCAAGATGAAGATAAGAGAACGCAGTCAAAAGAAATATAAAGTAAGGAAAGAGAGAAACGAAGAATGAGAAATTGGTGAGATTCAGTACAGCGCCATTAGGATGAGGATAATGTATGTATACATCTGCACCACTGGCATCGGTTCTGAGCCATATCACCTAGAGTCTCCGACCACTGGTTCCTCTTGTCCCAGGGACCCCAACCACCTAGTCTGCACCGACCCACATGGCCCAAACTAGCAGTTAAACACTTCATACATTGGTGCCATTTTTTAGTCTGACCACCTCGGGCCTTTTTCCAGCCTGGACCTACTTCGGACAACATTGTGTGACAAGGCAATCGGCGACTAGGCATACGTAACACGTGTCCCAACCATTTCAGTCGATAAAGGTTCACAACCTCGTCAACTAACTTACCTCTTCTCCCTAAAACTCTACACCTGACTTCTGCGTTACTCACGTGGTGACACCATGGAATACGGCGTATACTATGAAGACAACGGTGGTCAAACATCTGAAGCCTTCTCATGTCTTCCATCTTCAATGGCCATGTTTCACAGCCATACAGTAGAACAGACCGGACTGTTGTGCAGTATACGCGACCCTTAGTAGACAATCGGATATCACAGCGGTGCCACAGGTGGCGTAATTTGGCAAAAGCCAATCGAGCCTTTCGTGCATTCGTATTCGTGCAGAAATTCCACCGGCCACTGAGTTAGCCACCAGGGATGATTCTGTTTCCCAGGTAAGTGAAGTGATCAACACACTCAACCACTTCACTCTCTATTCTTAGCCGCGGCACTGTTGAAGACCAGTCCTGGAGCAGAAATTTGCATTTGGGTGGTGAGAAACGCATCCCAAACATTCTCAAATTCCCACTCAAAGTGTTCAGAACACTCTGCATCTTGTCAGCGTCTTAATCTAACAGGACTATGTCATCTGCATATTTTAGGTCTAACGAAAATTCTCCACCGATTAGGTCAACGTCTGTGTAATCAGGCGGCAACAGGGAAACCCCCAAGAGAATATCTATGATAAAATTGAATAAGAATGGAGACAGTGGGCACCCTTGACAAGCACCACTCGATGAGTACAGCTCACCTGACATCTCATCGTAGGCTCTAACACGCCAGAAGTGTTCGGGTAGAGAGCCTTGCCTTCAATAAGGGGATGTATTTACTCGGCACGCCTTTCAGTGAGAGACACTGCCATAAGACTTCTCGATCAACGGAGTCGAATGCCGCCTTCAGGTGGAGAAATACGGCCAGTGTCGGGCGCCGGTAAGTGTGTCTGTGTTCCAAATCCTGGCGCAGTGTGAATACTTGAACTATACATCCGCGGCCAGGTCTAAAGCCTGCCTGCCTGGTTTTATCGGGCTTTTTGTTCCCAAGCTCCACTCAGGTGTCGAAGAATCGTAGAACCTAAAATCTTGGACACTATGTTCATCAGGCTGATTCCTCTGTGGTTATCACAAGAGGACTTCTCGCCTTTCTTGAAGACTGGGATAATCAGTGACTTAGACCAGTCGGAGGGGATCGTATTTAATTCCCATACACTAGCTAACACTTCCGTTAACCTGACTATACTTCTGGATTTACTCCGTCTGGTCCTGCTGCCCTTCCTTGTTCCAAGTTACCTTCCGCTTTCTCGACTTCGCGTGTTGGGGGGCCTACCTCTATGTCCCACTCAGGATCTGACTGGATAGCGGGCAACGCAATCGTGGCTGGAGGCCAGTTAAACTGTTCCTCGAGGTGTTCTACCCATCGTTCCAGTCGTCTCCCCTGCGAGTGAATCGCAGACTCGTTCTTCTCCGCTATGGCCTCATTAACCGCAGTCGACCTTTTTCCTCTAGTTTCCTTAATAAGTCTAAATAACTGTCTACTGTTACCAATCGCCACTGCCTTTTCCATCTCTTTAGCCTTCGTTGTCCACCAATGTTCGCGGTTGTTGGGTAGACTTTTTCTCAGTCTACTTTTAAGCTGTGCCTGCTCTTTATTGTACTCGGAGCCTGCAGGGATGCGTTCACGTGTATCCATTAGTTCCGAAGAAGCTGATGATATCCACTGGCTCTTCGTAGCCATCATTTCGGAGTCGGCTACAGTCTTCAGAGCTGCTTTTACGGCAGACTGGAGATGGCACCAAGCCTCCTCTGCATGAGTGATAGTCTTCGGTCCCAACAACTGCCTAGCCAACTTCTCACTGAACACGGCTTTGGTGTTTTCGTTGTCCAGCAGCACTAGTGGTCGTTTTGTTGCCAAATTTTTCTTATTTCCATTGAGACGCAGACATATACGCACTTGGACCAACGTGTGGTCGCTATCCAAACACGTACTCGAGAAGGAGCGACAGTCTTCCACTGATCCTCTCCAGCGATGACTAATAGCAATGTGGTCTGTGTCCATTGCTGGGTTGAGATCGGTGGACGCCACGTCAGACAGTGTCTGATAGTGTCATATGGAAATCCAGGCAGTAGGTAATGAGCCATGTCTATTATGTGAATTGATGGATCTGTGTGCGAGGTTCTACATTGATTTTGTCAGTTAGTTAGTCCTATCATGTGAGGGCTAATGGTGCTACCTGGCTGCCCAATCCTTGGTTGGTGGAGTGGTGTCGAAACCCGAGACCCACCATTAGAAGTCAATTGCCTAGACCAGTGAGCCACAGCTCCACAACATTCGCAAACTTCATTAACTGACCCCACGTACAGCCTGACAATCTTCAAGCTTTTTTAGCTAACATCACATGACAAGGTAGACGATGACTAGGCATACGCAACACAAGTCCCAGCCACTTCAATTGATGAAGGTTTATAACCTCATCAACTCCCTCAAACTCTACATCTTGTGTGTACATTACTAATTTGGATCCACGATACATGGCCAACGCTAAGAAAGCCATAATTGTTAATCATCCATAACCTGAGGGGACTACAGTATACTCTTAGGAGAGGTCTTCAATTGACCAAGTGCGTCAGAAATTGTACAAGATTAAAAAGCAATGCCTTCAGCTGAACTAACCCAAAATGTAGGATAAACCAACTGGGAAAAACTTCTGATTACGGAAAACGACATATGAAACAAATTTTTCAACAGTTTTCGAAGAAACCGCAATATAACCTTCCCTATGATCAGATACTGTCAGGAGTCCGGCGAAAGATTTGAAATTTTTTGAGACGCATTCATCAAACTGGTGCACGTCCGTGCAGTAAGCAATGAGCCACACCTGTTGTATGAGAGCTATTGATACCACTTTGCTGTCCAAACGTCGGTAGGAGCAGGCCTCGACCCCGTGACCCACTGGTTGAAAGTCATCTCCCTACGCCAATGGGCCACACATTTTCTGCGATGTGTCCGAAATCTGTTATGGAGTATTGGCATAAGTTCGATAATCAGGAAATTCGACCAAGGTCCACCAGTGTATTGCAGTAGCTAAGGCTAGAGTGGCACCTTAAATGTAAACGACGCTACGTATTGAACTGATAGCTGCTTTAGGGGCACATGGCTAGATACTAGATTTTCAGAAGTAATATTCTGGACGAACTCAAAAACCGTATTTCACTCCGTCAACAAGACAAGTGACTGATACAAAAACTTTGTGGCAAATTACGTCCCAATGATCCATAGTCTCACTAGAGCTTGTGAATAGGAACATGTACTGTCAAAACGTAGTATTGATAACTTTTCAATTGAAGGGACGATATTCAGGGGTAAAAGTCTCTGTCTTGCATTTAGTGGCCATATTTTACAGCTACATAAAAAAACGGTGCGAATTACTGAGCAGAACAGCCAAACAGCGACAGGCAATCAGATATTTTACAGAAGCCATAGGTGGAGTAAGTTGGCGAAAACCAATTGATCTTTTTATATCTGTGCAGAAATCTCGTCGGTCGCTAGCACATCAAAACGGATTTGATCTCCTAAGTAGGCGAATCGGTCAGTGCTTTCAGCGTATACCAGTTTCAAAGTGAGACAATTTGCATTTGAGTGATCGGAAGCATACCCGAAGCATTCTTAAGTTGTTGTTCTAGAACAAAGGACAGACAACCCGCATAGTTCTACAAATCCCCAAAGCGCGACAATTTCATATCTCACTGCATTTATATGATGATACAATGAAATGATTCAGCAATCCATCCACGCAACAATCCGGGAAGATACTTTCGTGTGGTTTCTTAAACGGAATATTAGGAAAAGTCAATACAAAAAATGTGTGGAGCCAAATCAACTGAACATTGACAGTACTGTACGACAGTAATACCAGCCCATCTAAAAATGCATTTCAACTCACATGTGATATATAGCCCGGAGAAGCACAGCTCTTAACATGGGGTGTTTACATACTGCCTGAAACACACGCTTGGATATAAGAACCAATACATTAAGTCTTGCAACAACCCTACTTTGTGCAGATTTATCAACTGAAATATCTGGTCTTTGAGAAGATTGCAATATTAGAAAGTCGCTATATGTGTCCTTTAGCAAGCTGCTCAAAATAGAAAATATATCTAGAAACATAAAAGAAAAAGGAACTTTAGTCATCAACTCATAAAGTAGTGATTTTGAAATGGATAAAAATATTGGTGAAAAACAATGTCTAGTAAGCAAAATCAACATATTTTTACGTAATATACTTAGTTCAGTTAGTATTTTGAGTACTCCAATAGCACGCTAGCTGAGAAGTTCTGTGCACTTGGCAAAGGCGGAACCAGACTGCTTAGCTGATTTTTCGACCTCGAATATGATAGTGGCCGTTAGCCGTCACTCAAAACGATGTGTTGAAAACCAAATAGCATATGGAACAACTTGTACAATTTACCGACACAGTCTGATAAATACACGTACTATCTTTGGCAGACCACTGGCCAAAATTTTATCCACTTACTAGAGGTAGTTTTATCAGTCCTTGAACATTCTACGTGAACATGTATGCGTAGCATGTGGTATAAAACAGCTAATATACTCTTACTACAGGAAACGAGCTAAAGTAAAATACTAATCCTAACATTCAAAAGTAATAGTTTAACTAGTCAGTAAATAAAAATTATACCTTTTTTTAAATCGGTCCCAAGGAACGTCACGCTGTACGGAGGTGAGGCTGAAACAAAAAAACTTTCTAATGGTTAACGAATTTAAGCTACATGCAGTTAGTTCTATTGACAAAACGTTTTGGGGAAAAAAGAGTACAACATACAGCTGAATGTAGTGAGTCCAATTTAATTTATGCTCTAAGGTCCCGTTTAATTTTGAGTGTGCAGAGAAAATAGAAAACACTTAATTCTACGACACTAGTGGTTCAGTACTACTTAACACTTAGATGGACCCAGAAAAAGTAGCAATGTTACCTGTAACACCAATTAGTTGTTATCGGGAGAAAATATTTCTAATCTCAACTGCAGGGCAATAACTACCAGTACTTCCTGGCTGAGGTTAGCATGAAGTTAGGAACCCAAAACTAGAGACTATGTTATGAGACTCGAAATAGGTTTAAGTGGCACAAATGCACGCACTGATTTTCGTCCTTGAAATTCTGAATGCTTTCCCCAAACTTCGTTCATTTCCACTCGTCTCATATCCTTACTCTGTACCTGTACCACTGATATCGATTGTGAGCTAAATCACAGTTACCAGTTATCGATTTCAGCAGTTTCACAGATTTCAACCTGGAAACCTAAGTTTAACTGCAAAGACCTAACCAACTCATGAACTACTGTAACTGATGTCGCCTTTGTCTGGCTATTCCTAAATATTATCTTAGTTACGTATCATGGTGTATTTGAAGGTAGCTCATGTGACAGATCCCAGTCAGCTGAATCGCATTATAATACCTCTTAAGTAAAATTATTTCATTGTTTGATTTGCCAGGTTGGTAAATGCCACTGATTCCTCGACACTCCCAAATCTAAGATTTAAGAAAAGGTATTGCAACTTCACAAACGGGTAGAACAATGATGCAGAAGCCAACAAGTACTGAAACAGGTACTACTGTACCAGTTGATTAGTCTTTGGATGAACTTCAGAACTTTCCCCCTATATAATAAGAATGTGCACAATAATGTCCGAGTTCATATGTCTAAGCAAGACAAATTAACTGGCGAGTTTGAACTTGCCAGTAGACTTCACAGCCACGTCACACTTGATAACCTTTACTACCTTAACCAGGAAAGACATTACGACCCCTCAAATACGTGTGAGGGTTAAAGAATGCTGGTCGGAATGGTCATGTGGATTTAGGGTATACAGAAAACCACAGCTGACATTGTACCAGAGATGCTTTCATACAAAGAATTTGTAGTCCACGGCAAGAACGAGAAAAATTGGTTGTTATGTAAATGACTTATTGTTTAAGCAAGCTAGCTTTACCTCTAGTGACTGGAAATCCTTTCAGTTCTCGCAAACGAAACTCTTGGGGCATCTATAAGATCAAAATGAGGACAGCGCAAAGAAAACGGCTTTTTTTCTGAAAGTCTCTATGATGGAAATGCACTGTGCTCTAAATTCCGTGCTTGCTAAACCCATGTATTTGTTCTTCGAACCTCAAGGGCAAATTGGCACAACACTCGTAAACGCGCCTTGCGGACAAGGTCATCAGATCAGCAATCCAGCTAACCAAACGAGACTTAAAGGACAATGATGGTAGGTTGAACACCTCATGGAAATCAATGTCAGAGTCAACTTTCGTAATATTTAGTTCCCTTTCAGCAAATTATTACCAAGGGATCTGCTAACAGTTATTACCACTAACAGTTGGAGTTTTTGGATGTGCTACGACAAATAATTCCCGATGCTGACCTTCATAGAAGCTATAAGACCAAGGATCCACACCCTTTGGCAAGTTTTCGTGATACGATGAGTTGTCCGTAGACGATTTCCTAGCTAGTTGTTTGAAAAGGATCAGTATTTTGGCATAAGCTATCGAACATACAATTCCACCTGGATACTGGATTGAATTCTTTCTTAATTTCACACTTATGAGTATATGGCAAGTGTGAATGATTGGTGATTGATCTTCGCGTCTATCAAGTTTGCGTAAGATCATTTCCTAGGATCACTTTGAACGAAAACTGGTACTGACCTGGAAAATGATCCGTTTCAGCTTACTTGTATGCTGCCCATATTTATCACTTCTGAAAGAAGTAACTCCAAGGTAAACTGTGTTCTTAAATTAAACGTAGGTTTTGAACCCCGACGTTTTACCTGTGATATCTGGCAAATTCTGCCAGATTGTACTCCTACTGTGAACCGGCAATTGGATTCACACTTCACAAACTCCTCTCCAAAGTCGATGAAAGAATAAAGATCCAGTCCCCCCTTCTTCTTTGGGGTAGGGGTAGTGGTATTTTCCATGTGTGTGGGGCACAACTATTCCTAGTGAATTTGTTCGGCGGTGATTCGATAAACAGAATTTCGGCAATCAATCTCTCCCCCTGCCGAAGCAAGTAAGTTTCTAACACCATCGTCTCTGTATCCCATTCTATTTTGTCATTTTGTGCGGTTGCATGCATAGCTACAGCCGAACATTTCTCGAAAGTCCTTGTCTTATTAGGACCTACTAATCTTCACCTGACCAGGATTTTATGCTCTGTTTTTTTCAATTGAACATGGTCAACTGCTTTGACAAATGTGCTTGACCTTATAATCATTGCAAGGGATTTGACAAGCTGAACTATTTTACCAGACTGGTTAAGTGGGATCTTTTAACCTACAAACCTTGTTTTTAGGCCAGTTTGTTGTAACTGCTACTATAATCCTAGCCTTATCAGGAATTCTCCTAAACCTTTCTCAGAGGACTTTTCACAGATATTTTAGTAGGTCCTTTGTTGAGGATTATTTGCCAAGTGCATGGAATTCCACCGAATTTTCGCTGTAGCTGTCCTTGTGGCAATCCAAAGATAGTTGCCCGTCAAAGGTCGAAGACTCGTACGCCTTCACACCCTCTCTTTCTAAGACTTTGCGGCCACAGTGACGCATTGCCTGCCAAGATCGCTACAGACACAGACTCGGTATATGCAGCCGGTTCATCCCGCATCATTCCAGAACCCTTTTTACTGCCACTAACATGGTGAGCTTCCCTCAGGCTTATGCTTCCCTGTTAGGCGTCTCACCTTCATTTACGATACCCCACGAATTGCATCACAATTCCCATTCCCATAATCACTCCTGTAATCGTAACTGCCCCCTCTCTTCTCCTGTAAAGATTCTTCGCATCACAGATCTCCTTCCCGTCTTAACGGAATCGGCCTAATTTTCTCCGCTCCTTTAGTTCTGCTTCTTTTCGCCTCCTATTTGCCCGCTTTCTCTCCGTCGCCCTTGGTAGGCAAATTTTCATTCTTCCTATCTTCATTTTGAGACAAATCCGAACTTGTTTCCGAGGGCACAACATTTCAGGCACTCTGCGCGCTTTTTGCCTAATGGTGGAACTTACCTATATGCTGGAGATGAAAATCCATGCCCGTCTCATGAGTTGCGGCAAGTTTTGATAAGATTATGCACATCGACTACTTGATATGTGAGTTATTTAACACTAAAGACTACTGTGTAAACTTCCCAGAAATATCAACTCCATGATGCTTGTAAACTGGTATCCCATATCAAATCTATTACATGGGGTAAGAATTATTTTTATTCAAACGTCGACACTCCATATACGCTGAAAAGCAATATTTTCTTGTTCGTTTCACAGCTGGCAGGATCCTCTAACGTTTTTAATAGAGTTTGATGACGCCCTCTGTACCATTCATTACTCGCAAAATCTTGAAGATTTTCCGACATATATCAATAGGGTGAAGCCCGCAAACTGGCTTTTGTCATGTTAAACTAATAATGTGAGAATAAAGGACCTGCTTATCCATTTATTTATTTGTTTACGCGCACTGCAGTCCTCGGACAAGTTAGACGAACTCTACAAATTTAACCAACATTTAACTTCGCTTAGGGTATACCTGGGCTGCAGAAGGTGTGCCGGTTGACCTGCAGCATCGCAACCCTAAAAACATTCCTAAGGACCTGGTGGCGAGCGCGAAGAAATCGCTAGGCTTGCGCGGGCTGGTATAAAGATATTGGATACGGAACAAAGAAAGCTACGGTGAGACGTCTCAGAAAGCATTCTGGGATTCATCAAAAACTTTTCACTGCCTAATTTTTCTGAAGAAGCAGTTACGTCAAGATAGTGTGGCATCCAATTCTCGAAATATCTTCCACTTGAGCAGTCCGGTGTTGAAGCATTGCATCAAGAACTATGCACTGCTTTTTCAAGCTTGAATTGACTGCTATTCAATAGCAGGGTTAACTGCTGAGTAGCAGGCACTTGCCTGAAATGGTGTGTGGAAATGTCCCTCCGGAACGGCTTCAAGTAATGAGACCAGCCTTACGGAATCCCTTTTATCCCATCCAGCTCCATTTTTTCGAAGTAGTCCACGTAAACAGTCTTTACAGAACAATTAACTTGAATAACGGTCATCAGAAGATCCAAGACATAATGCCCAGAATTTGGGCGACCTAAAGTCAAGTGTCTATTGCTACAAACCAAGTTTGTGACCTGGTTATATCTCATCCCAATGGAGCTCCTGGAAGCGCACCTCTCTCTGTATCTTTTACTTGTGCATTTTATCATCTACCTGTCATTGGGGTCAGTGCAAGGCATTCAATTTTTAGCGACAAATATAGTCACGGCAGCTTTCTCCGTACTGTTCCACCTTTTAGCAGTGAAGCGGCTATTTGGGTTGACCTCATCAAAGCATTTGGTTGGCGTGAAGTTTGCGTCATTCACTCAGATGACCACGATGCAAAGAAAGTTCTTTCTTACCTAGAGTCTGCTCCCCAAAGGGGGTTGGAATTTAAGGTTTGTTGTTGTTAATTTGAAAGACTGGTATTCTGACTTAGGTACTGATGTTTTTAAAATATGACATAACGGAAGTTTAACCCGCCTATTAAATGATATTTTTTACCGTTATTGTGTATCTTATTCATGGTTGTGTATTATTTTTATGCAACCAAGATTCCTTAGGGATAAACACTAACTTCAATTGCACTAACTGTAACGACTTCAAAACCACTTCTTTGTATGTGTCTCTAAAACTCAGAGCTCAAGTGAGTTGTAAGTGCCTGTGTCTGGCTCTGAAAAAATTTGGTTGGGTTAGTTTAAACTCGAGGCCTGATGGCCTCTGCTTACTAGTCATTAGGGTCGGTGATGGAGAATGACTGTCACTGTAAATAATGTTTGAGAAAGTTGGCTCAACCAGACTGGTGCACGTACTTTATCACTGAATGTTTTATGAGTAATGAGTCCTCTTGTGGCTCATAAACAACTCGTTGGACCCAGGGGCTTATGGCCAACAGTATGAATGATTGTTCTAGACAACAACAATGTACTAAATCAAAAGGCAGTAGTAGAAGTATAGCGCGTTTATTCCAGCACTCTAGTGGGCAAGTTCAGCGGGCAAACTCAAACGAGTACACTTAACGTTATTCATTATTCAATCGCAGTCAACAGTGAGCATAAAGTTTAGAAGAGATAGAAATTATAACCATGTTGACTGTGCACTACATCAACCTCCCCCTGAAACGACTTAAGGTAGACTGTCATTTCAATGCAATCCTGAACGAAGTGACAAGGTGGGGAAAAAAATGAGGAAACGTGCAGAAAATTCTAATAGTTGTGAACGAAAAGTGTTCCACTGATCAAATGCAACAGAGATGAATGGAGAAATGTTGTGCGGAGTGTTATTGTAGCATTGGTTTATTAATCAATATTGTCTTCACGATAATATAAGTATAATAAGTATTTCTTGAATCTTCTTTGACCTTAAAAATAATAATAAAAGTGCAGAAACTGTGTGCAAAGAACGAGTTAATGAACTTACTCCTATTTGTAAAAACAACGGCTATAAACCTAATGTTTATCCCTCCTAATTTTGTGTCTAAGTGCTATTCTAGGCGTTACCTTTTGTTTACTGGGTCCAGCTATCCATATGCATTGAAGAACACCGAGTATTTTCTGATGAGACGCTAGAAGTACAAGTTGGTTGATAAAACTAGTTGATTACATGGCTAGGAATGGTCCTGGATGAGCCGCTTCTATGCTTCCAGCCATGGGACTTAGCTGGTGATTGTCTATGTTGACTAGCTAATGGAGAATAAACTTGTAAAACTAGGCAGAGAAAACTGTCATTCGTGACATTCCGTGTTTTGGAAAATACCTTAGTAGTGTATAAGTGGAGGGAAATAAGTAACTCTAGCGCTAGAAACATTAAGGTGTTTGTTGTCGCAGTATGTGAATTCAACCAATTAAAAGCGCTGTTGTGAATATTATTATTGTTACTACCGGTGATGTCGTGGTGATAGTTTGGAGCGACGTGTCAGTTCGCTGGGAGAAAGGTCTACAGTCAATCCCCCCAAGTCCATGGAGCACTGTGGCTAAAGGAGGTGGTTGCCTCTGGAGACCTGTCTGTGGTTTGAGTCATTTCTGCGACAAACATAAGTCCCCATCTTTGGCTTCACATTCGGTGACTATTTGTGCGATCGGAAACTAAAACAGAAAAGTAATGCAGTATTAAGGTAACTGTGGTAGGGTC